TTAATATTTAATATGTAATATTTATCAAACAAACTGCGTAGGTGTTGAACTCTTGATATAAAAAAAACCAACGCCCCTGATTATAATATGAGAACAAAATGAAAGACCCTCGATGTTAAGTATAATCTGAACTGAAAGAATTTCTCTAAGGATAGGAGAACAAACATGACTACGTGCTCATTTAAAACGTACATATTAGAATGGGTCCTCTGATTGTCAAATCCTCGTCCGCCTATAACATTTGTAAATCAGCCTAATTCCTAGTTCAAGATCATCAGTAGGAAGGATGCTTTTCTTTTGTTTTAAATGAATTAAGCTTCAAACTTTTCCTATCTTCATCCTAAATTTGAACTAAACATGAAAATTGTCAAGGACACAGAACTTTTATTATTCCTTTTCTAAAGCAGAAGATTTATCGTTATTTCCCAGTTATTATAAAAAAATCGTTTAACTTTTAACTTGATCATTATCTCTAAACAGTTTCATTTTTATGAGGCAATAACAGTGAGTTGATAAGAAGAATTATGTTTCTCAATTAAGTACATTGGATAATAGTAACTACAAAGTAAAGATTTATATTTATATTTAATACAATGCGTATTTAATATATATTTATTAAATATTAATTATTGATTATATTGTATCAATTACCCTTAAGGAATAATATGGATAAAGTAAATGATTTGAAACTACTTAAAAAATTAAGTCCTATTAAATCTTTTATATAAACACAATCAAAGCAAATATTATTATAAAAAAAGTCATCTCAGTTATTCTTAGAATTGGCTTGAATAGTAGGATTAAAATTAGGTAAGGCTATTCAGTTCATACTTTATGACGTATATCAGAGTTATTCCGGTTACACTATTCTATTTAGAATTGTTGATATGTTAATGAACGTATTATAATGTATTTCTTTATGAATATTTATTATTCTCTTATTTACTACATATGAGTTCTTCTAATAGAAACTTGTTCTTATGTAAAATTTGTTTTCAGATTCCTTTCACTATTTAACAAAGACGATAAATAGAGTTTTCGTCATAAAAATTTACTTATTAATCGTTCATTTGATTAATAAAAGAAAATCTATCTAAATATAGGTTATTATCAATAACGAACTATCCGTTACTCATTTTCAGTTATATAACATATATACTAATATTAGGTGCAAAATGAAATTTTAAACAAAGTATCTTATACTTTAATTATCTTCGATCTTAGTCAATTTATTCCTAATTGTATGCATTCTAATATATGATGATATACTGTATTTTAATTAAAGAAATCTATAATGATTGATAAAAACTCATTGCAAAATATTTCACACTAATCTATCTAAAAAGGGAAAATATTCCGGAAATTGCTAATCCATGTTTTATCACTTTAATCAAGGCTGACATTAAGAATGTCAAAAGATGGGAGAAAAAGTGTAAGAATTTATGTTTGCATGCGTGGGGGTGTTGGTTTATTTTTTTTGTCTGTTTTTTATCTCTTCTTTTTCTATCTTCTTTTGAATATTTCATGAACAATTTCTTGTTTAAACATTGTATTTTGCTGCTGAGTGAAGATTTCATCGAATAAGACAAGAGGAGTCAAGAGGAAACAAAAATAAAGGATACAGTTCCCTTATTTATGCACTCAATATTTAATCAAAATGAGGAAATATTTTAGTTAAATACTTACAAAAATCGACTGATATTTAACTAACTCAGCACTTTTAGGACATTTGATTATTGATTGAGCTGTCTAAACTTAAATAGACAGCGAAAAGTAAACTCCTCTAGGTCTATATCTAATATAGAACTTAACTCTTTTAAAGCAATTTTATTACATTGTTTCCCAATATATAACGTTCAATGACCCGGTTCGAATGATTTCAGCACAACGTCGTTCTTCAATTCATCACTTGCAAATGAATTCACTTTATAAATAATTCAAAAATAGTTAAACAAGATAATTAAAAAGTTGTTAAACTATTTAAATCTATTTTATAAATATATAAAAAGAAAAAGAACAACATTTGTAAATAGAATGAAATAATTGATTCTACAGTAGACATATTATAAACAATAGACAAAATACCTACAAGCTATAGGAAAGAGATAGTTAGACGGATAATATATACTAAAATTCATTTCGTCCACTCCCTCCCCCACCCCGCCTTTTTTTTATGCTAATCGTATATTATATATTGAATAGGAAGTCGTAAGCCTAATATTTGTTACTATTTTTTTTTTAATTTCATATAAAATCGATTATTTCACTCGTCATATTGAAGAGAAAAAATATTTAAATGCACAATGCACGATATAGTAACTGATAAAAAAAACATGTCGAACAGTATGGAACAGCTGTTGAGTTAGATTAGTATGGTTACATTTCCAAAATAATCTATCTTTCTATATAGATATAGATATATATATTAATAAATTGTACATATATTTATACATTTATATATATATATATATATAACATATATAGACAAAGAAGTATATATCAAGAAATCAGCATATACACGGAAAGAATATGATGTGAATATAACTTTTTTCCCTTTTTCATCTTATGGTGTTAACGTATATACTTCCAAAATATCACATAGAATAATATGAATTCGAACTACTGCTGTCTCTGCTTACTTAATTTTGCCGATTCATTCACTGGAACATTTCTACTACATCCTCTTGCTGTGCTATGGTGGAGAGGAACATGGGATTTATTAGACTTTTACATTTATCCATCTCACGAACTCATTTCTAGTCAGATTACTTTAATCATTGGAGCTGTATTAGCTGTAATTGGATATATTATACAACCTTATATTAATAATTTAGATAAGGACTCAAATTCTTTCAAGATATACACAATAATTTTTTTATATGTGATTTCGATAGTAAATCTCGGTTACTGGAGAGGATTATGGAACTTGACTGATATTTATCTTTCGGAAAAATGGATAAATTCTACAATTATACTTCTTATTGCCAGTATAGTTATGTGCTGCACAAAAACTTTTAGGACAGCTGTTGGTCTCCCGTTTTCTGTTACTGTGGACGATAATCAGGTGCTAGAAAGTGCAACGGCCTTTAGGATAGATTTTGATGAACGACCGTATATGTACTTTATTGATGTAGCTATCAGTCAATATGTAATTATAAGCAGTAACATCTTCATTTGGAGAGGTTTTTGGAATATTTATGATGCATTTATTTATCCACAAAACCTCTTACTCTCTGATTGGATTTCGGCAATATCAGGTTACAGTGGAATGTTTCTCCTCCTCCTCGTCTCACCGTTACTAAGTCACCTTTCGGCATTATGTAGCAATAACATTATAATAAGATTAATCTATGAGAATATAGTTTATTTTATCGCCACCGGTATAACCCTTTTGGCTTGGAGAGGCGCCTGGGATCTATGCAAACATTATATCCTACCAAACAGTCTAATAGGCGGCTGGTCTTGCCATTTAATGGGTACTATTTGCCTAGCATCAATGAAAGTGTATGGAACTGTTGCCCTAAACGGAATTGAGATAGATTGCGCTAACGACCCTAAAAAAGGACTTATATTTCCAAATTCATTTCACGAGGAATATTGTACTAAAAGAAGACAACATGATCGAAATTTACTTGATGAGTACAACGAAGAATGGTCTTAATATGATTTGGGTTCCCTTTTTTATAAAAGTTAAATAAGAATACATCAATAATTTCTTTAAAAAAAAAAAGAAAATAAACTAATTAAGAGAAAAAAAATATGTCACATGTACCACGTCACAAGTATTATCATTATTCGTTAAAGTTATTAATATTTAACAAGGCTTATGATAATACCGTTTTATCATTGTAAACGATAAGATATATATATATATATATATACTTGTACAATATGGTAATAAGCACATAAAATTCCATTGAAGCTAAAGTCAAAAATATTTAATAAAAACCTCACTAAAAACGAATGAAGTATATTTTAACGTTATACAGTTCAACTCTCACTTAAAATATACCTTATTCTACATAGCCCATAAGTAATCTTACACATATATTTATATACATATCTTTGAAATATGTATGATTTGTATATAGCTATCAAAAACCATCTTTTTTGCTAAACTGTTGTGTGTTTTTTGAACTCCAATGATGCTGAATTGACACAGTATCGTACAGGATGATTTTTTGGGCCATCGTCAAAGACGTGACCCAAGTGACTTCCGCACTGAGCGCATGTAGCTTCTACTCGAACTTGCCCTAGAAAAGAGAAAAATACGTCAATCGATATTTGCCCTATTTGCCCCAAAATCCCCCTTCGCCCTTTATTCTCGCGTTTCCCGTCCCTAGTTTTTTTCTATACTTTTATTTATACCGTGTGTTGTATCCGTTGTATATGAGACTTTTCCTTGGGCTATCACATCCCTAAAGGACGGCCAACCACAAACATGTTCAAACTTCGAACTTGAATGGAAGAGGACGTTATCACAGACTATGCAAGTGTAAACGCCTTCTTCTTTTCTTCTCAAGTGTTTCCCGCTGAAAGGCCTGATAATGGAATACTCGTTAGTAGAATACCCTTAGATCCTTATATTTATATTAACCTTTCGGTGCCACGTTCTTGCGTAACGTGATATTGCATAGGAGATAAAGAATGCTTTAAATCATTCTTATCCTGAACTGCCGGTCCAGATTTTCTTTCGTTAGAGGGACACTTTTTCGCTTCATCCTCTAACTTCTTGAAAGCACCAGACGGATTTTTTTTCTTCTCTTTTTCGGCAGCTACCAACCGCAAAATGTTCATCACTGGGAACGTCGATTAGTCATCAGAAGATTAGTTATTGGTCGAAATACATGACAAGACAACATGGAAAACAAACCTCAAATAGAAATAGTTATCCTTAGATCCTTATCTTTTGGGTATCCTACTTGAAGTTACTAGAAAAATACATAAATAATACAAAAATATTAAAAAAATCTAGTTGCGCATGTCGATTATCCTACAGCGAAGGGCCGTATTTGGCACAGAGTTGGGTTTCCCGTTCGGCAGTGAAATATTCGCTCTACGCGCTCATATTGATCGACGAGTCCGATTAGGAGTCTTGCGCAACTCTATCATAGTTTCCTCGAGACTATTTGACAAACGTTTACATAACCAAGGCCGCAATGATATTACGCAATATATCTTATAAAATAATTATATAATCGTAGAATTTATTTAATTCGAATAAAAAAGAGAGAATAGTCATAATTTCCTTGATAACTGGTTAAAGATTGCATAAAACATTTTTTTTCACATTGTTCTAGTAGTGCCATCTTGTGTGTAAATTATACTTTTTATTAGTATATTTACATAGAACAATCTACTATATTCTGGAAAACACTCGTTCCTTCGTTCGTTTTCCAATAACATAAACTAATAATTCATTGTAGAAGTTTCGAACAAGACCTGTTCAATAACATTAACGGGGATACAAATAACACCAAGTCAGTTCAAGTGTAATTAATCATCCGAAAATTTTTTAAGAAAATAGGGTACAAATACTCGAAACTAGACGAAATACAATTGCAAAAGGTGTAAAAAAACTAAACAAGTAAATAAACTTAAGAACGGAAAAGTAGAGCAAACAAAAACAAGATAATATATATGAATAAGTGTAATTATTTTGTTCTAATGAGGCGTGTTTTTTTTTTTAATGAATGCTTGAATGAATGAATTCAAAATTTAACTTCAATTATGTAATTTTTCTTGGAGTTATTATCCCAAAATTCCATTCCATTGACTTTATACCAAACAGCAAATTCTAAATTTACAATTTTCTTCCCATTTTTAAAAGTTGATGGATCAATTTTAAATATGAATCTGTCAGTAAATTGACTTGGACGAGTATCTTCATAAAAGTTAGCAGTAGAATCTTCCCAAGTTTTCCAATTGTTTGTTGTGACACGAATACCAACGTTCTTCTTGTATGCCAGATTTACGCAAAGTATAAAACCAACTATTAAGTGTTGATCCTCTGAAGCTATACTCTCCAAAACCACATTTTGAGCGTGTAGCTTTTCATAAAAGTTTGATTGACAAGAAGGTTGTTCAAATTGACATTGAAACTTGGAATCAAAATCTTCCTTCATCTTACAATAATCTGAGATGGAAGGAACTCGGCGAAGAATTGGCGGTGATTTACAAAACTCCCTAACATAGACTAAATCCAGACCAAGACAATCGGCAAATCGAACACTTTTTGTCTTCTGAAAATCGATAGGTATTTTAGGGGCGCCTTCCGAACTAGATCGTTTATAGGTTGCTTTTCTTATTGCTCTTTGACCGAATTCGTCTTCATCGTCGATCGAGTTGGAAGATGATAGCTTGCGATTGTAACCATTCTTTATCATTGAGCTACTATTCCAAAACAAAGCATCAATATATATGTTTATATAGATTTAACTCTTTACACATACACACACTCTCTCTCTCTCTCTCTCTCTAATAAAAATATATCATATTTTAATATAATAAATAAACAACTTACTTTTCTATTCGCTTATTTGATCTGTTTATCTGTGTAATACCATTATTATTATTATTATTATTATTATTATATCCATTCATCAGATTGCTCACATGGGGTTCAAGACCATGCATCATATTCTGTTGAACGGTCGAATAAAAATAATTATCCAGACAAAGCATCTGCTAACGTATCCTTTCGTGTTGAGCCAATATTACACTAGGAGACTTCTAACCCAATAAAACTGGTATCCAACTTTTATAAATTTTTCGAATTGTCTACGTGCGCCCTTTATATAAACACATATGACCGAAGTTTGACCTTAAAATTTTCTAACGAATAGGGCGATACCAACGATTTAGGCTACTGTATAATTATCCAAAGCCTCTATTAAACATATTACTAATTAATCGAATAGTTCCTCTCCAAGCAACCTTCCTAAGAGGTCACATTCGACTGATCTACAATATTTATATTTTCTAAATTCGACCGGGTAACCATGCAGTCACGTGACTTGTTTTCTAGGCATACATAAAAATAAGAGTAGAAAACATAGGGCGATTATTCCAGATAATTCTAAAAAAAAAATAGGTTATGATTCATTGTTTTGGTGTTCAGATTACCTATTTTTTAAACATGCCGAACCTTAGAAACAATAGGGAATAACATACACTTATAGATATTTATATATATATGTATATCAATTTCCGTTTTTGTTTCATTGCTTACCGGCGTACTACAAGTTTACGTTGCATAGGCCTATAGAATAAGATGTGTGGTTGTATTGACTAACTTTTTTGAGAGTACTTACCGCATTTTAAACTGGTTTCCGCAAGGGAAAGTCTGCGGGAAGAGGTTGCATTTGAAAAAAACAACACAATTTCAACACATTATAGTATTTATTATTTATATATCATAGTTGTTTACAGTAGTATTATAAAACAGAAGCATTGTACTATAACGATAAGAACTTTTAATGCTTATCTTTTACTAAAAACGTACTACTGGCTATTTCTTATAAAAATAGGTTTAATAGGTCAATGTCAGAAGAAAGTTAAAGGGTCACCGTTGAATAAATAATATCGAAAAGTGAAGAACCACTGAGAAGACACAAAACAAAAATAGGTGTATTAAAAAGAAATTTTCAAGCACAATAACCTCGATTAACCTTGTTACTAAATTCTACTCTTTTTCTTTTATTCTATATTCTCTTGATAAGAAATTGTTGCAATAATAATAAATGAAGGGGAAAAAGAAAATTATTGAGTGTATTTGATTAAAAGTAATATAAAATATTTTCTCTTATATAACTTAACTAAAAGGTTAATATAGAGAGAAATTAAAAAGTATATATACTATATATAAAGCCTTTTTCTTAATAAATTCCTTAGTAGGCCTATACTTTTGGTTTTATATTTCTAACACTTATATATTAAAGAAAAAAAAAAGAATTTAACGATATTTTTATTAATTGAACAGTAAAAATTTACTCCTTGCAGGTTTTTCTATAGCAATATTTTAACAGATTTATTAATAATGCAGTTTGCATTAACACTTTTACATTATTTAATTATTTTATACCGGTTATATAGTTCATAGATCTTAGTAAATTAAGCGGAAATGTTAAGAAGGAAAATCATTATGCAATATTCTAAATCACGATTTATCCTTATCACATTGCAATTTTTTTTTTAAATATATAGAATAACCTTTTTATTGAACTATACAAATATAATATATACTGTGTCTGAACTTGTCAACGTTTCAAAGCGGTTAATTCGCGTGCCGTTATAAGCCCGGATTGCTTTAAAAAAGTAGGAAAAAAAGGCATTTTTTGTCCTAAAAAGAGCCTGAACGATCGACGTTGAAATTTATTGATCGTTTAGAGAAGTCTAACAAGGATCGCACAAACGAATCAGACTTCGGAGAGAAAGCATCGTTGCTAATAATAAGTTGAAAACTTTTATATGAAAGGTGAGCAAATTTTTGTGTTTTCTCTAAAGTGACAACGCTCAGAAGCGGTAACTACCTATTGAATATTAAGTGCTGCATTCATAACTACTTAATATATATATATATATATATTTTAATAAATATCTACTACATAGTTGCGTTTCTATATTTATATTATAAAAATATAAATAAACGTATATATAAACAAATATTACATGGATCTAATACTTATTTACAAATATATGACACTCGTATATATCTATAGATAAAATCTATCAACGTATATTCTGTTTTTGTTATTCATTGAACTAACTATCGATAAATCATATATTCAACTAATTGTAAGAAGGATTATAACTGTTCTATTCAGCGTTTAGTAAAAATTGTACTAGTATTAATTCATTTAATGAAAAACCATAGTTTGTCTGCACAAAAAAATTGCAACAATACTTAAGAAATATGGATTTATACTTTTCATTTTGTATTAAATAAATATGTTATTGATTAAGGATATTATCGGAAGTTATTACGATAAAAGTGTCTAAATTGTTTATCTTAAAAAAGACAATATTGTCTACAAAGGAATTTCATATAGTTATTAAGTATAACGGCCATTGCGTATATATTTCGTTGCTGGATAAAAGACTGCATAATTTACTCGTCATATTGGCACAATAATCTACCTTCTTTCAAATCAGCTTTTTTAGTCATTTACTCTTCTTTCTATTACACTATTGGTGAAAATCCTTCGAGAGAGTAATACAAACAGTGGATCATTGATATTTTTATTTTTTATTAATAATTTAAATATAACAAACAGACCTTGACAACCATGTCTTCCCTCCTACCAAGAGTTATTCAAATTATTAATAAACCTCCTAATGAAAGAACTGAAGCAGAAATTCAAGCTCTCCAACCCTGGTTCACAAAGAAGAGCCAACTTCTACAAAAAATCAAAACAGGTTAGTAACCGCTGAACTAGTTAAAGCTGTTTAACTATTTGCAAAATCTCATTTTTTTTGTATCCCTTCTTCAGCCTCGCCCTTTTTGTAAATTACCCCCCTCACCCTTTTCTATCTCGTTCTCAGTCTTTTTTCTCTATACCTGATCAATCGATAGTGAAATAATTAACGGCAGCCGAGTCAATAGGATAGAGAATTAAACTCGCGTCGTTCTGATTGATTTCTTTTCTTTGGTAGGCAGGTGTTATGCCGGCTTAAATTTGTTCTCTGGGATTATAAACTTAACGAAGGCATTCTCTTTTCTTACTTTAACTTTTCAAAAGAATGTGACAGTTAATTATTGAAAATTTAATTGTGCATTCTTCTATACAAGACAGAAAAATTTGCCAATAACGTTAATTATTAAGTAATCATCCTTTTTTCATACATATATATAGACATCCTCTCAGACTTGATAAAGAATTGCAATCATGCGATTAAAAGAAAAGATGAAGTTGTCATTCTTCAGGGTGAAAAAGGACATTGGTATACATATTTAATTACACATCTTCTTTGTGTGGCTTATGTTTATTTTAACTCTCTTGTTTTTGCACGTATAGCTTCTATATTATTCTCAGAGGTCAGGTATCGATTTATAATAAGGAATCAACCGAAGAAGGACAATCCACGACAGATAGGGAAAGCGATCGATCTAAATTTGGCAACTTTTTAGTAAACTTGCGTGCGTGTTAAGAACGCTCCTTTAATATTAATAAATAGTTTTATAATAAATTTATTTATCTTTCCATCCTCTTAAATAGATGATGGGAATGCATTTGGCGAGATTGCCCTTATTAATCCGGACTGCATTCGTACGGCTTCTGTTATAGCTGATGAAACAACTGATTTAATTGTTATAGATCGTCAATTGTATAATAGGTCCGTTGCTAACATTATTAAAAGGGAATTTGATGAAAAAATGAACTTTGTTGATTCTTGTCATTGGTTTCAAGATTGGTCGATCAAATGGAAAAAGCATTTAGCTATGTCGTTAAAGAAAGAAGTTATTACTTTTGGTGACACAGTTTATAAGCAAGGCGAAGAGGCTGATACAATGTATTTTATAACTAATGGAGAGTGTAAAGTCCACGTTGATCCTTCCGAACATCAAGTTCAATTTCATAAAATGATATCAACCTTTGATTCTATATCATCTTCGGAGAATTGTAATAGTCTTAAACCAATGGATATAGGTAAATCTCAACCGAGTGCTCGAAGACACAGCTTCAAGTCTCATCAAGCTGTAAATCTCTGCTATTTAGGACCAAATCAGGTTTTAAGCGATGTTGAATTTGCACTAAACATGGGACGCTACTACACGACTTGTACCAGTGCGAAAGAAACATCTGTGATGAGTTTGAGGAAAACACACTTTGAGAGGCTTTTCCGTCGCAAAAATCCCAACACAATCAGGCAGATGGCGCAAGCCTCAGAATTACAACTGGCAAGGAGAATTTCTCAGAAATCTATCAAACATAGTGTACCACTCCTAAAAGTTATTATTCATGGTTTATATGATCAATTTTGCGATGGAAAATACAAGGCAAAAGTGACGTTTGAAAATCACTTGTCAGCATTGGAAAGATCGTTATTCCCAAATAGCCCAGTACCGAGGGATAAATATCCTCTTAGAAAATCATCTACTTCCTCCAATCCTACGTAATTACTGTGTTATAATCAATTACTTTTATTAAGTATGTCCAGTATATACATATACTTATCTTCTATATACTAATATATATACTGTTTATGCTATATTTCGTATGTAATATCCTATTAAGCTAGTTCAAAAATAAATAAATTATAGTTTTCGTTCTCAAATATTCTTCTTTTGTTGTGTTTATCCTCTGTTATAAAGAGGTGACGACCTAAGTCGATAATCCCTTTCATAACTTAAGTTAAAGAGCCAAAGGCCGATTATTATTCCACCTAACCTGAATAGAAAAATTACGTTGATACCTATTATTGCTTGGCTTTGACCTTGAAAGTGTTTTTTTTTTTACATAAATAATATGCTAATATGTTTTCGTTTTCTTTCTTCCTGTATAATTAATTGCGCAATAAAACATTCCAAATCTAAAGGAATTACCAGAAATTTGAAAGAAAATACAATAATGTTTTTATGCAAAACAGCTTAATGCTATAATTCAAACTTTTTCCTATTTCCGGATTACGTTACCCCTGTCGTTCCTCAACTCTTAAATAACGAATATAAAAAACTTTTGGAGAAGAACTAATCAATGTTAGTTTCGTTAAATATATAACTAATAATCCTCAGTCATCGTGTTAATGGATTTATTACATTTTTATAATAGATATACTGTATATAATATATACAGTATATACAGTATATTAGTATATAAGAGATAAAAAAGAGTAGAGTAAGCAATATCTCTCCCATAATTCAATTTTTCCCGTTCAGTGTTTAATCTTACCAAGAATTTATTGGGGGTAAGATTAGTAACTGATATTTATTTTAAAAAGAACTGCCAAGTAAGCTAAGCTAGCCTACAATGATAATTGAAAAAACAATTTTCATAGTTTTATCATTTTGTTAATTAATGAAATATTTTGTTTATTCATGAATTTGATATAAAGTACTTGAAATATATATATATATATACATTCGTATGGTGTGTATTAAAGCACTTGTTTATAACTTATAAATATCCATTGTATTTACTTTTATAGAACATTTATTTATTTTGCAATCTGAGCATACAATGCAGAACATCGGGAAATTATTGAAAAACTGTCTAAAGAATATTTTGTTTCTTTTGAACATCCGCTTCCGTTTATTAAAGAAAGACGGAAGTTTTGTACAGATCTATTTTCAGTTCTTCTTCAAGAAAGTGGGCTATATGATTTGCCCTTTGTAAAGATAAGGTTGTAACATGATTGATATTAGTAATGACTTATTTATAGAAATATATCATATTCTCTTTATAAAAAATATAATATTCTTATCAGTTAATTTATCCTATAGTATTACTTCTTTAAAATTATTCCATATATGGAATAACAAGTCAAGGCGGATTTGACTCATACATACGCCTATGAAACTGCTGGCCTATTTAATTTTATAGCCAATCAGCTTCGAAAAAAATTGCCGAATTAGCTATCTGGATTTTCCGAGCAGGTTAGTCTTAAAAAGTGTGATTGTTTTATCAATTTTCAACAAACACGTTTTATCATTGATAAATTCGAATAGAGTTTGGTTTTAATAGGCAAGCACGCTTTGTGTGATAGAGAAAAAAAGCTACACATGACAAGCTTCGATTCACTAAAGGCGACGACCAGGTTTAAGCGAACTTTTAAAGAGCGTACAAAACTTGTGGCGGAAGCACCATCGACTTCTCCAAAGAAAGTCTGTCTAACTCAATGTTCCTCTAGCATGAACGGTAATTACCCTCTACATTTATTTCGTAACTACCAAAACTATTTATATAGTTTTATATATGTTACCCAGGAGATGAGGACTGTTCAACAACTCGTCCTAGTAGAACTGAAATATATGCAATTGAACTAACAACAGAAGCATGCGGATCATCATGTAAACGGAAATTGGGAGTTATGAAACTCCCAACCGATTCCTCATTATCATGTGCCAGAACAAAAATTGTTGTCCTTATACGCTATTTACCAGCCAGTTTTATATTTTTAACTAAAGATGGATATCCAATAACAAAAGATGACGAGAATCAATTTACCTGCTCGGATATTTGTGATGAAAGAAATTTAATAAAAATTCAGAAGAATTTTGAGAAACCTCGAATTGGTGTACAAGATGTAAAAAATAATGATTTCGGTTTTATATTTATTGATCACACTTGCGGTTTATCAGCACTTAGAACAGCCATTCAAACGGAGGTATAGACAGATAATATATTTTTCGATAAGTTTACGACAACCTCTTAGCCTTTGTCTGAATCGATTATCATGTTTTTCAGTTAAAAGTACCAGAAAATTTTCGCTTTAAAGATTCCAACAATTGGCTTGTAATTAAAGAACACGAAGCTAAATTGGTGGTTCTAGACGTTCTTCAGGGAGCCGTTGTAAAAATTACTGAAGTTAAGAAAAGGCCTCTTCCTCCTCCCCCTCCTCCTCCTCCTCCTCCTATCCAGGCTGCTGGTGATGACTACAAAGATATTCTTATTTCGTATGTTAGACAAGAGGCTGCGGAATTCGCTCTCCTATTAAAATCAGCTTTGATTCGAAAATTTGTTACAGTCTACCTAGATGTTCATGAAATTAAGCCTGGAATTGACTGGCAAGATTCTTTAAACAATGCAGTTACTCATTGTCAATTATTTGTTCCATTAATAACGAAAAATTACGGTGAAACGCAATGGACCAATAGAGAGGTTAAACTAGCCGATGTACTAAGAAAACCTATTCTTCCAGTTACGTTTTTAACGCATTGGCCCCCCCAACCGTTAGCCATTCAGTTCGCTTCAACTCAGTATGTTACCTATCGTCCAGATTTAAATATTAAGGGAACTGCTGATACTCAATCCGTCTATAGCGAAGTTCTTTCGCCTAACTCTCAAGAAAATGCAAATACAATAGAAAATACTAAATGGCATCCAGAACATGTTGAATTTGTTGCCGATGAAATAGGAAAATTTCTTCGAGATTCGAACAATGACAATTCGAAGAAACTTAAGACATCTTTAGCAAGACAACCATCGAAGTTAAAGAGCTATCCAAAAACATCAAAACTTCCCATTGATATAGGTTATCAAGTAAGGGGAAATAAAGAAGGAAATCCTTTAGTTGTAATAAGTCTTCATCCTGCTAAAAATTCTTTTGTAAGTAATCACTTAACTGATAAAATAAGATACAGTTTATCACTATTATCTATGAAAAACATTATATTTATCATTTTTACGACTAGGGACAAAAAATAGCCAAGTTAGTAGAAGATGTTTGTGTCGATGTCTGGCTTTCAACATCTTGTGAATCCCTAGCCGATGAACCAACACTCCCTGAAAATGTCTCACCAAAATTACGTAACTCGGAATTTTTTTCACCAACTCCGGAAGCTAGTTTAAAGCGCAGTTCAATCTTTCAAGATAAAGCAAACGAGGCAGGTTGCATAATTTTGCTATTATCGAAAGAGTTTATAGCATCCAATATATCAAAAAGCCATCTTTACTATTGTGAGCATAGAAAACGACTCATACCAATAATATGCGACGATTTTGAGATGCCTGCGTGGACTAATCGTTTAATCAATAGCAGACTAATTATTGACGCTAGAACAAAGAATTTTGAAGAAACTCTCAAGTATAACATAAGAAAAGCCCTTCATACAAGTGCAAGGTTTTGTTGGGCGGATGATGTGGAGGAGGAAAAAATTTCCACCGCTTCCAACTTAATAAAGAAACTGATGCCTACAGGATTTAGCGTGTACGTCACAGGTTCCAAGTTGATAAACAATGAAGAGACAAGAAATATCTGCAAGTAAGTTGCACTGATATTGTGCAATTCTGTTAATCAATTCACTCTGTGGTTTTTTTTAGACTTATAGGCCAACATCTGGCAGCTTTGGAGAACGTTCATATTGTAACTGGTGGATTCAAAGGTGTTGGGGATGTTGTTGCTAGATCAGCATTCGATGAAAGGAACGACGTGGTGGATGATGAAAAGCATATATGGCACATACTTCCCAGAAAAGACGACTACAAATATTCAGATGTGGCCGACCAAAACGAAGATGGAACATTTGAAATGGTGGAATATGGCAATACTGTATTTTCAGGCGATTCCGTCAAGGAGAGAGAGATTATAACTTCAAGAGTTTTCGATATATGTATTCTCATCGGTGGCGGTCCCGAGTTAGCTAAGGAAATAGACCATTTCGTTTGGAGTGAGAAAGTAGTGTTACCAATCAGAAAAACAGGTGGAGCAGCTGATGGTAAATACGACATTTCACCAAAAATATTTGATCTACCTGTAGCAGTATCATTGGAGGACTGGTCTGTCTTGTTGGATGATCAAGCTTCACCAGAAAGAATTGGAAAGGCTGTAGCCAAAATAACAATGGACTTGAAAAAGCAACATGCTGTGGAAGCACCATCTCAATATGCAACAACCCCTTTTGAAACTCCCGTTGGCATGAAGAAGGGATTTTTATTTAAACAAAATACTTTAGAGCAGAGTTAGATATAATATATGATTTTTCTATCAAATCCTTGTTTGTTAAGATATGTTTGTTTCTTTAAATTTTTTTTTAGATATCTTCATCAAAAACAACGTTCATGATTGATTGTTTTCTTACTGTGTAAGAGAATTCACATTAAATGGTAATATACAGTATACTATATACAGTATATATATATATATATATATATATATAGTGAGAAATCGCTTTCGTAGTCTTTAAAGAAAGTTGTGAAGACTAAATAAGTATATATATGTGCCTGTATATTTACAGAAGACTGCCTTTATAAATTTCAACTTGCTAATATTTACAAATGTCGTTGGTTTATTAGTCTCCAACTGGTTGGTTAGTTCTCTCTATCAACGTCCTGGGATATTGAACGAATATCGCTGTAGATTGACAGTTCTCTCTCTCTAACTCAACTTTTTTTAAATATTTATTGCGAAACTGCTCTTTTCTTAACTTAATACATCTTCTTTCAACCATCCATTGGAGAAAGACAGTAAAAATAGGTGTAACAGCTACAAGTATGATGAACGAAAATAGCATAAGAAGGCAAGAAAAAGCCGTAGAGAGAGCTAAATCACCTCTGACCCTTGATTTAGATATTGTAGAATTAGGATTTCTTTCCAAAAATTCCCTGATATATTCATAAGAATTTTGATATTGATAAAATGGTAATGTTCTATACCACAATAAATTATAGTCTGTGGAATGTCCATTAAATGTAGTTTCAATCCTTTCTTTGGCTAATAAATAACTTTCCTTTGGCTTTAAATAACGTTCCATTATTGACCTACGAACTTTATTCGATTTTCCTTCTCTTTGTTGTAATAAATCACTCTCATAAGTATGGATTAATTGGAAAACGAGGAATAATAACCTCATAATTTATCATCAACAAATGGAGGTAAATAGTTTGAAGATCTCTTGATCTTTTTATTTTGTTTTTGTTTTTGTTGTAATTAAACACATTAATATTAAACACACATATATGACATATTTATTTATTTTACAACAAATAGATGTCACTACTTGTTTTCTCAGATATCTTTAAAATTATCAATTTATCAATTTAGAAAACTAACCGTTTATAAATAAAGACGTTTCGTAAAAGTTGAATTTTGAAAGATCAAGAATGATCATTAAAGAAACGTGTACAAATTATTTACTAAAGTTCACAAGGATTAATTTAAAATTCAATATGCTTATCTCTTATCTTCAATTTCTCCTATTGGTAATAAATCCTATAGTTGAGAATTCTCTTAAAGAAGATTGTAAAGGTTTTAATACTTACGATTCATGCGAACTAATCTCCAAAAGGCGCGAAGATAGAGATACTGAGCAGAGAATTACCCTAAGATGGAGTATGAGAGACAGGCAATCATTTAGTTGCATACCTGATCATCTGCCAAAATTTAAGGATATCGAGTCATATGACTATGTTTTAGTATATCCAGAATTTTATAGAGACGACGGATTTATTAGTGAAGCTAATCTAGAAGACGTAAAGAAAAACATATACTTTAAAAGCAAACATAAAGTAAAAATTACACGCTATGCAAAAACTAGTTGGAGTGGAATCTATAAGTGTTTATTAATTAAAGAAGATAAATTAATTCATGAATTTAGTCATTATCTAAGTATTTCTGATTACGCAGCAGTAATTCAAACAGAAACTTATATTTCTGACGTTTCAAGTTGCACTAATTTTAGATTACTTCAAAAAACAGCTAATATTTTACAAAAAGAATATTCTAGGGATTTAAAGGAAAAGATAAGGAAATCGTTCAATATCAGGGTCAGGGTAGATTGTGAATTGAACAATATGAGAATGGAAGATATAATTGATGACAAAAAATCAACAGAATTGGAGAAGAATGTTATAAAATATTATAATTCGGTTGGTTTATATATTAAAAGATATAGCGCAAAATTTCATTTTGATATTTGGTTAGTGAGTTTTATTTCAAGCTCATGCGCAAACTGTCCAGAATCAGCTGCTAAGAAAATCTATAAAAAAGGGTCTAATCTACTAAAATCAAACCTAAAGACGTACACAAAACAAATTGATAAACAATTTAGAAATCTTTATAAATCAAATACAATTAAACGTCTAAAGAGATTTTGTCTCCCTGGCTACGAACCTCTGAATATCTTAAATCCAAGTATATTAATTGATTAATTAGATAAATATTACGTAAACTTAAATTCTTATTTATAATTTTAGATTGTTTAAAAACAATTAGATGCTTACAACTATTGAGAAATAAGTCGCAAGACGTTTTCTTGGATCGGTTCTGTAGTAAATGTTTGCCTGGTTTTTATAAGCCAAACGATCGGATGGAATTATGTAAAAAATGCCCAATTGGATCATTTACCGATCAATTGGGTAGTGTAATTTGTTTCAATTGTCCAACAGGATCAACAACTCTTGCTGTTGGATCGCACTCTTGGAAAAATTGCACTCGAGAGAAAGATTTAGGAAGCGAACTAGCAACCGTTAAATACGGGTATAATGCTAAACTGAAATGTAAATTAATCGACAATTTTATTCAGCAGTCTGCTACAAGAGTTGAATGGTTAACCTTAAACCCTACTCAATTAGTAAATAAAACTAGATCTAGTATTTCTCAAGATGGATATTTGCTTTTAAAGAGTGTAGACGAATCTCATAACGACGTTTACAAATGTCATCGATATGGCCGTATAGATGGTCAGAGTTACGTTCTCACCTATAGAATTGCCTTAGCTGTTGAAGTGAATATTGTTAAGATAGTTCATCAGGAATGGAAATGGAAAATCAAATTCTGTCAATCGTACGATGATGAGTTTTACGCTAAATTAATAAATTCTGAATTATGTTATCAAGTAAAAAAGACAATAAAATCTGATTGTTTATTTAATACTACTCAAACATGTAAGAGAGAGGAAGACGATTCCTTAAGCGAATTGAAATACGACTATGTAGTATCCATATTTATAACTTATAGATATAATGAATATTCCAAAGCTAATTTAAGAAAGCATCTTTTAATATTAAATGAAATACGAGATATTTATTTACGAAAGAAGGGTCATTATGAGAATATGATAAGTACAGTTATAGATTTGCCTTATACTGTCTCAAAAACTTGTGATCGTGGATATGAAACTAACGGGCAATATTGTATCCCCTGCCTGCTGGGACGATTTAAACCCGATCAGAGTACAAATAGATGCAGAAGATGCCCGAAAGGTTATTATCAGTTCAAGATTGGTTCTACTGATTGTATAAGATGTCCAAAGGGCACTACTACAGTAAAAGTGGGTTCTGATAGAAAATCTCTTTGTAAAGCTGATTCTTACAGTTATAGAACGGAAATAATAACCAGGAGGGGTAATTTGGTTCTTATAAGATGTAGGGGAGAATCTAGTACTTCAAGAAAAAAGAGATATCGTTGGTATTTTAGATATGGAGAAACTAGAATCACATTATTCCAACAACATTTTCCTACTTTAAGAATTGATTCAGCCAAGAAGCATCATTCTGGTATTTATGAATGCGTTTTAAAGAACATTGACGAGTTCGGAATAGTAGTAGAAGAAACGTATAGAACTGATTTATATGTGTACATTGATCAAAAGAAGAGAATAGATTGTGAAATAGGAATGGAATATTCAGAAGTTTTGGGAGGATGTTTACCATGTAAATTAGGCTATCACTCCTCTAACATTACAAAAAAATGTAAACCTTGCGATATGTACTCTTATCAAGACAAAATTGGAATGAATTTCTGTTACATTTGTCCAAACAATCAAATTACTTATCAGAATGGTAGCAAATCTAAAATGGAATGTATAAATGAGGATAACACAACTCTAACAGATTCTGAATTGTCAAAATTAAAAAGCACAGCGGAAAAAACTTCTTTGGAATTAAATTCATACAAATTGAGGAGAAATCTTGTAAAAGACCATGTTAAGACTGATGATAAATCATGTAAAAATATTACAAACTTAAGAGATTGCAAAGCAAGGGAAAGAGAATGCAGTGTAACTTGCCCTCTTCAGGGTTTTTATGTAAAAGAACATAGCGATCGTAAATGTCTGTATGGGGATTTAGAAAAAGGGTGTAACGAAAAGACTGTTCCCTTTAGTAAATGTTACTCAAAGGAGATATTCTCAGCCTGCTGTCTAACTTGTTTGAAAAAGAGTGAATCTAGTGGCCTACCGTACAGCTGTCGCTATGGTGATAAGGAGGATTGCGAATCGAAAGATTTAAGCAGAGACTGTATATTAAGTTATAATTTTGCCAGGAAAAAATGTTGTAATTACTGTAACAAACTAAGAAATAGAATAGAAACCATTTGGTTAGGTGATAGCACAAAAATTGGATGTATTGAATTAAGAGGGGAGTTGTTAAAAGGAGATGATTATGTTTGGACATCTCCCGATGGATTACAAATTTTCAATTACGAAGAGGATTTAAACTTAGATGATTTAACTGGAGTAGCCCTAATAAACTCGGATGGAAATTTAGTTATTCACAGAGCTAAGAAACATATGACTGGAGTTTATAAATGTCAAGTACAGATAGAGGGAAAGGACAGAATAATAAATACTCAAATTTCAATCACGTTACTTGTAATATCAATACCACTTTCAAATATATTAATTATCTACGAATTTAAGTCAATGGAAAAGAATGCAAGTCAGGATAGTGTGCGGAATTTTCTAGATTCTATGAGAGAGCAGGCATGCATAAGAGTTCGTTTTCAAGACTTTGGAAAGTGCTCCAAGAGAGTCGTAAATGTTTTTTCGGAATTAAACTCGTTCGGGAAAACTTTAATTGTAAATCTTACACTTGCACCTTTAAATAGATACAGATCAATCATAAATAAGACAACAGATGCATGTGACCGCAGTTGTCGCGAGGATCTAAAAAACAAACTGAATAAACATGTGATTAATTTATATCAATATTTCAAAACATCAGACAATTTTAGGCAGAGCCTAGAGAAAAATAAAATTTTCCAATTGACAAAAAATGAAGAGAAGCAAGATGACTTCCTCTTCGTTTGCGAAGACGGTTATGAATTGATTTATGAGACAGAGGGTTTAGCTTGTTCGCCTTGCAAACCCGGTTGGTACTCTAAGGAATTGAATCTGTGTCATCCATGCAGTGATGGAAGTTACCAACCTAACTATGGATCAAATTTCTGTTACCATTGCCCAATCGATGAGGTAACGGATAGAACTGGAGCAATTAACCAAGACGAGTGTCATCGTTTCTAGATCAGTAGTAATCTGAGGAACTCATAGGTACAAATACCACTATAAGTTGTTTTTGTTCATTATTTCCTCATTAAAGAGGCCATAATAGCTAAGTTTTTTCTTGTACGAAACCTTATTCTTACCATTAGTTGCTATTTTCTGTTCGTTAATATTAGTGCTTTTCGATGAAACGTATATATACTGTATATATATATATATAATTTATATATAGATTTAAATATAGCTTTTGACGTGTTTCAAAAGCGCTTAATCTCATTTAATCCTATTTATATAAGACTATACTTCTTACAATTCTGAAAATAGAAATATTTACGAAAAACATGTACCAAATATACACTAGAGTGATAAATCAATGCCCAGAAAGAAATTAGGAAGCTTATTCCTTCACAATTAACAATTTTTTCAATCATGAAGAAGATGTTAGGGTAGCGTTGTAAAGCTAATTAGATGCAAATTAATCTTATTGGCTTCGCACGCTATGTTTGCTTTAATTAAGATATCCTGCAGTGCAAATGATATAATTATGACGTAAAGAATACATCATTCCTGAATAATACGAAAATTCACAGATACAGATAAAGATATTCTGACAAAAAGGATAACATTCCTATTTGGCGCGCTTTCGAAGCGGCCATTTTCTTTCATAGACAGGATCCAATTCTGTTTCAGGCTAGCACTTTATTCTAGGAAAAAATGGCGGCAGAGAACGATAATAATGGTCTATTAAGCTTTTTAAGGAATTTCACGACAAAAAAACCAGAAGAATCTCCATTATTAAGGCGACAAGCGAAGAAAACAAGAATTAATTCTTATAGATATGTGTTCGAAGAATATGCGATCAAAGAAAGCGAACATTTATGCTCAGAGTATCTGAGATCACAGTAAGCGGAAACTTTTTGTACTACGAAGACTCATTAATCAATTTTATAATAATTGTCCCATTAGAAATTGTCCTTTCGACCATATTTTTGATCTGGCCAAAGATATGAGCAATGAGTTACAGGAATTTGTGACGTCTTGTATGGTTGACAAGGAGTCAGGTGAAAACCAATCGGAAAGTATGTTACAGCAGGATGTTTAAATTTTAACACGTGATAAGGCTAACTGATATTCGTCATCGCAATAGGGCTACTGGATCTAGATTCTTTAGCAACAAATATTCCAAAAATTGCAGAAAATGTCGTTCAAGTGTGGCTATCAAAAGAAATCTTACCATCTTCAAATATTCCGCAAAAATTTCCATTCTCATTCTGCTTCAAATCCGTGCGAAACAAGCGAAGGAATATGGAAGACAGATACATAGTCTTGCCGAATCTCAAAAAATGTAATCATGTAAGTAACACTTATTTGTTTCTATACATCCAATGCTTCTTTGTAATAACAAAAATTACCATCTTAGGCCAATCAGTTGATGGAACAGTATTCTTTGTTTGGTGTCTTCGATGGTCATGGAGGATCTGAGGCGTCCTCATATCTAAGCGCACATTTACCTGAAGAATTATTTAGACAAGGACTTAGCGATTGCAATGGTCGTGAAGATGTTGTTCTTAAAAAGGCTTTATCTTCCTTGGATTCAAGCTTTTGTCGCTTATCTTCCATAGAAAGGATGCTATCTGGGAGTACAGCTTGTGTATGCCTATTAAGCGACAAGGTTTTAACTCTTGCTTATGTAGGAGACTCCCAAGCCGTATTGGTCCGCAAAGGAAACGGAAAATGTCAAGCTTTATGCAAACCTCATACTGCGGACAATCCTAGTGAAAGAGATCGTGTACAATCTTTGGGGGGGACCGTTGAAATTGTTGACGGAGTTTGGAGATGTCAGTATTCTTTGAGTGTCACAAGATCTGTGGGAGATTGTAATTTTAAACCCTACGTCACGGCAGACGCCGACACAATCCAATTACAATTAGATGGTTCCGAGAAACTATTAATTATAGCTAGTGATGGTTTGTGGGACCACATATCCCCTGATTCTTTACCTACGCACGTCTACGATCATTTAAGCAAACGTTCCAAATACTCCCTTGCAGATTATCTTGTTAATCTAGCCGAAAAAGAGGGTCAGACGGATAACATTACCGTTATCGTCGTCTTCTTTGATGAGCAAGGTGATAATGTCAGATCAGTTGCGGATAACACCGAAGTTACCCAACGATTGGACGGATTAAATAATAACAGCAACAGTAACAATAATAACAACAGTAAAACATCTTCAAACGATTGTAGCCAAAGTAATACGCATTCGGCTGGTAGCAGTGAACCATTATCTGGGTCGACTACAAGTAAGAATTGTGAAGGACGACTGAGACCAGTCGATTGCACACCTCCCTTATCTCTCCTTGTTCTCGGTTCCGGTTCAGCATCATCCAAGAAATCTGAAAGACTAAACAAAGTAGTTCAAGAGCTAACTCCAACTACCCTAAAAGCGGTAGGAGTTCAAAACTCTCCATCACCCGTTACAAGCTCCACAACAAAATCCATTCTAGCCGTTCGCAACAGCTACGCCCCGCCAATGTCACCCGTTCATTCGAAATCGGGAAGAAAGGTTACTCCAACTTCACCTTTGGATAAAAGTGATCTATTTGCCAAGCATAATCGATGGACTGTTGCAACAGAAGTCGATTGTAGACATTTATTTGAACAATAACTGCCAAAGAAAACCAGCTTTACGCGCTAATTTTAAAAATTATTGTTTGTTTTTTTTTACTTTGAAAATTTACTGCTTTATGACTTAGAACGAAGTATTTCTGAACCATGCAGATATATAAATCTTCATGAAAATGAAAATTGTGTTTACTTTAAAATGAACTAATTACATATAATAATAATAATAATAAATAAAAAAATCGTTAGCTTTGCAAATAACTTGTATTACTTTATAAACACACCAGATGTCGCCACAAATTGGAAAAAAGCTAATCTTGAAAACTTTCATTACTGGGTAAAATTTCAACGACTATTAATTATGTGTTTACAATATACAATACGTCAAGAAGTTATATATACTTTAACCTATTAATTTATTCTTTTTGGCGCGCTTACATATCGATAAATCGAATGTTTCGTATTGTAATTTTTTCTCCATCTATCTAAAAGGTGAGATTTACTTTTCATCATAGTCTTGTCTATCAAATAATAATCTCCATTACTTAGATGAATAAGAAAGCGTATAGATAACAATTAATTATTAAAGCTATAATTTATCCTAAATCGAACAAAAAAAAGAGTATTTAGAGAAGATATAGGGAGTAAAGAATGAGAGGGAGGGGGTGGGGAGGAATGGAAGAGAGAGAGAGAGCGCGCGCGAGGGAGAAAAGGATAGGGGGAGGAGAGATAAAGAAAAAGTTTTAACAGAAAAAACTGCCTGGTTGGTGGTTGTTTATTCTCTTACCGAATTGTGTTTGTAGCATTCAGAAAACGTTCTGAGAGCTTTAGAATATTTTGTATATACAGTCTAGACGAGTGTAATATATACAGAGAAAATTTATAAAATATTATATATATTCATAGATAAAACTAATAATATGAGATAGTAAAACAGCAAACAGATGACGCCACCGTTATTTTTGGACGTATGAAAAAATGCTTTTCAATTGGTTATAAAGGAAGAAGTGGAGGGGATAAGAAGGACAAGAAGTGTAAGATGTATATAGACAAACTGTATTTATATGCTTGGCACGGAGGAAAGCGTCGAAAATTGCGTGTATCTTCGGCAGTCGTCAATAAAATTGCACAAATACTGTCCGTGACTCTGCATTCGTTATGGTTTATGTATATACCGAATTCGTTCAATACACACCAAACTTTATGAACGTTTATCAACGCGTTTACCACTATACATTGTCGGACGTGTGTACATTGGTCGGGTGTCATTCCATTAGCTTTTGTGGGAAAGTACGTATTTTGTCAACAGTCGTCCGTTATCAAGCGTTAATAGTTAATTAGAGGATAAGAGCAACGCCGATAGACGCCGGCAGAAGATGAAGATATATTATTTCGTTGAGAGACGCCCGATACGAATGTACATAAGCAAGTCTATTCGAACGGCGATAGCCGATACTGTTCCTAATATTATTTGTAAACGTCCCGCGTCTAAATAGACGCCGCGACTGCGTACAATGGCGCGCATAGAAAGCGTCTATTTGTCGGCGAACAATCGAGTAGAAATGTCACTTGGAAAATGATCTTTCGTTCTAAGAACGGGACGCGTATGCGCCGGCACGTTTTTGCGCATGCGCATTACTTTAAGATAATTACTTTTTTTTCTATTTTTTTTCATTTAAATATCGTTGGCGGTTGGAAAGTAGGTCGAATACACGGAGGCAAAAGCGGAAGTGCGTCGTTGAAAAGCCAAAACACTATCCTATACAAACTTCAAAAGAACGAGAGAAATTGCCCATAGTGCACAGATGATTATTGACGGATAAGGATAAGAGCGATAAGAGAATAATATATATTTATATACAATATTCTATTATAATTTATATATATATATACAAAAGGCTTTACAAGTTCATATACAAGTTGTTGAGATTTTTTTTTTCTTCATAAAAGTACCCAACATGCATAAGCAGTGATGCTTTGTATACATATTTCTTTCTTTCTTATTCTCTTATACGATTCACAAGCCCGCGGATGGGAAGGTTTTTATTTTTTTATATGTTTATTTTCGCTGTCATTTAGCACCTGTTTGGCAGTTGGAAAGCATTTCAAAAAAAATTGTCTCTTGCTGCTACAAATTAAGAAAAGTTTTACTTGTATTCAAAAAATACAACGATTTGGCACATTTTATACATGAGGCATAAACATACAAAAATATACGAATTAAAGCCTATCTACTCCTATATACACATGCACATTATTTACACATCTATAATACTTTATATGCCAATATAATATACATATATACTGTATATATATATATATGTACGTTTAAAAAAGTATATTAATTGAATATATAATGAAGCGTGCAATACATAATTAGAGAATTTTCATGTGAAAAGAACACATATGAACATGTACTGTATATAGAATTTATTCCTGCTCCCCATTCCAAGAGTCTTGTTCGGAATCAGGCGTTCGATTTCCACCCCTTAGAGGGGGTAATCCGCCGTGAAAAAAACTGGGAGGTCTAGCGAAAGGGAAAAGAAATGGGTTAGTTGCGAGAGAATGAGCGAAAATAGGTGGTGGCATAGGTGGAGCCGGCGGGTTATGGGTGATCCTAGTATTGTGGGGTCGTCTTGCTAAGAGCGCCTCGGTCGTGAAAGCCGCAGCTCGAGGACTGAACGCCGAATGAAGAGTTGGATGCGGCGGATTAAAGGCCGACTTTCCATTAGATACGCTTCTAGGCGTTGTCACCGTATCAGTTTTTCTCTGTTGTTGGGCAATGATCGTGTCTTGAGCGGACAAAAAATGTTCTATCGCCTTCACTAGATCACCGTTACAACCATGTAAAACCAGCTCCAATACTGTCTTCTTCTGCAACGGAAATATTCTTTCTAATATTTCCATATGACTGAGACGACCAGGCCTGTATGCCGTAGGTTTAGGAGACGAATCCGTCTTTTTATCATTCTCTTCTTTCATCTCATTTTTAACAACCTCTTTCTTTTCTTCCGAAATTGTTTGCTCCATTTCTTCTGATTCTTCATCGTCGTCGTCATCTTCATTATCTTCGACGGCAATAATCGAATCGCTTTCTGAAGCGGCAGGTGACGCTTTACGTGACGAATCTGGAAAGAAAGAGACGTTTAGTTATTCGATCTTCGATCAAGCGTCAAGAAGTGATCAATAACCGTCCGATGACCGTGATACAACTCGCACCTTCTTACATTACAATTCAATTGATTTTCCACCCCTTATCCTTATTTTGTTTTTTTTCCTGCCTAAGGCGTCTAAAAAATAACTTGATATAATTCTACGTACACCCTACGTGTATATTAGTTATCGGGCAATCATAAACACCGATTGCGCGGACACCCCGCCGGCGATGGCGGTAACCGTTTTACTTTCGACAATGTTTACATATTTCAATAATTAAGAGTATCTGAAAGGTTTAAATATTGAATATATGGCTTAACGCGTCCCCGTTGACATTTTAATCCTTTAACCGCGCCATTTCTCCTCCGAAACTTACATTGTCTACCTTGTTTATTCGAAACAAACGAGCGGTGAAAGCGGAGTAACTTAATCCGTATAAATATATGAGGCGACACCGTTCCATATAATATATAATTTACGTCCCGCATAAAGTATATATAGTAAAGGATAATATAAGAAAGAAGAAAAGAAAAAGCATCTCTTTTGTCATCGTTATATAATGACGATGATAAACAAACGTATGACGTTGAGTTATTAGTCAAGTCAATACACTAGGCACAGCTCCTACAAGAAGAGGATTAAACGCTTTCAAGTACGACTGGATACTTTAAACGAGTTCAAAAGTGAAATTGAATATGTTTGCAAATATTTTCAGTATATATAACTTTGCATTCTTTTTTGGGTGGTCATTTTCTCATGCCGACTGGAATTTCATACAGGCCTATGAACTAACTGATACTTAATATATATTTATACAACATAACAAAAAAAAGAAGATTTAAAACTTGAATAAATAACAAATGATAACAGAAAAGTACAAGACATAAAAAAAACTTGTTATACTGCTTACGTCCTAAACATAACACAAAAAGGGCAAGAAGCTAAGAAGGTAGATAATAAAAAAGTATGAAAGGGGGTGAAACAGAAATAGTATGGGTGTGTGTGTGTGAGAGAGAGAGAGAGAGAGAGAGAGAGAGAGAGAGACAGGAGAGGGAGGCGAGTAAAGGGAATAAACAAAAAAAAAAAGAAAACGGGGTTAGGATAGAAAGGAATAAGCGAACGAAAATATCGAATATAATTAAGTCAACAATAGAGCGAAGGACGCGTGGTATTTTTTGATGTTTGACGGCAGAGTATTTGCCAGCAAATTTATTATTTATTTCGCTTTAGAGGTGGCAGCTACTGCTTGTATACATATATCATGTATAAAGAGCTTTGTGTACTTAAACCGTTAAACTTTATTGTCAGTGAAAGCGAGTAAAGTTTCCTAATCACTTAAAAGGGCAGGTGCGAGATTAAAAAAGGGCTGAATAAATTAGAAAAATACAAAAAAAGTCTCCTAAAAAAGAAAGTTTAAACACAATTTGACCTAATTAAATTTGTTATTACAAGTTAAAAAAAAGTTGATTGACTACCCGTCAAACTAGTAGAATTTAGATAAACCTAATTATCCGAAGAGTATTTTCTTAAACGCTTCATTATCGCTTCCTTTTATACGCATCATTACAAAGAAATGACCAACAGGGGAAGGGGAAAAGAGGCGGGGGGCATTTACGGGAGGTGTGTTACAGATTTGAGTAGGATAGAGGGGGTAAGCGGTAGTTAAGAGACATGATACAAACAAAAACACATAATACAATAGAGAAGAATAGGGTTAAAAAAAATTTATAGGAAGTGAAAATTTATTAAACAAAGACCAAAAAAACGGTATATAAATAGCCAGGTGGAACGATATTGAACGAAATTGTTTAATGAAAAGCTTAAATACAGAAAGCTTTTATATAATCAAGTCTCTTTTTACAAAAAATTTGTTCTTCTTATGAATATATATGGATAAAAAATGTTAAATATGACTATTCGTTTAATTTACTTTAGTAAATCAAAAAATCGTTGTACAAACTCTTCTATTAAGTCGTTTATGGGCAAGGTCGAAAGAGATTGTACAAATAAAATTACTTGTTATATATTTATACATATGTGTATATATGTAATATGTATAAATTAATGAATGAATAATTGAGGCAAAGTTTATATGCGCATACACATAAATTTACATAAACATAATTTAATATAAATATGAATGATGGGAAGAGGATTATTAAGTAATTTTTGCATTTTGACATATGAATAATAAATAATTGATAGTATACATATTATTTATTTCATAGATTTTTTATCTAGGTTATCTAAACGGTATTAATATATAAGAAATCAAACAGTTTGTTCTCTTTTTCTATTTTTATTATTTTAGTTGTTAAAACTAGTAGAGGTTAAAAAGTATGTATATATAAGAAAATGGAAAACGTTAAAATAATAATGGGAATATGACGGCGTGGAAAATGAACTTAAAAGGATGAAATGAAAGTGTAGAAAGAGTTAATGAAAAAGGGATTTATAACATATTAACTTAATTGCCTTTCACGCTAAAAGCGTATAAACAAACTTCGATTGAAATTCGAATCCTTTATTTGTTGAACGTATACGCAAATTATACAACATTGATACGAACCTATTTTAAAAGCGTCTAACTGATATATTTATATATACTATACTCCATTATGATCTTAATTTATTATTCATGGTCAATTAGAAGCATTCGCAGAATCTTATCATGTCTCAATCCGATAAGAAAGTGAGATGCTAGATGTAGAAACAAAAACTATCGCTATATCCGTCCCAATTATTTCGTTTAATAAACACTACTCGCCCTTATCAGTCATGACAAGAGTCGACCTTTTCGGCCGCCTACTGCCACAATTAAACGGGTCCGCAACGGCTAGAACAAACAAAACTTTCGGTGAGAACGGCTAATTTTCTTGTTTATCCACTTGATCGCTTTCTCACAGTGAGCGCCCGGTCAGTTTGTGGTCAAGTATAAATGTATATGCGCAAATCTAGCCATACAGAGTTGTACTTTTCCGAGAATGATATTAAAATATATACTATCTCTCATACACCGATAGATAAACATATATGCATACGTTTTAATATATCTATAGATATATTAATATATATTTTCCCTATTTAACATATATATTATATATATATATATATTATACATATACTGTATATTCATACTATTTATACTATCTCTATATATATAAATATATATATATATATATTTTGTTCTTTTTAAGTGGTTGAATATATGTGTACCCATGTATTTACATTCACGAACAAGGTATACTTTAAATACACAACTTACCGGTGAAGTAGTGAGTTTTTTAATATTTTACTCTGACAGGAAACTAATAATTGCTTATAAGAAAGAGGGGGAAGTTTGTTACGAGGGTATTCTTCTGCGTCTCTTTGACAAACAAAGAAGCGATGCGCTAGTCTGACCTACTAACCTATATATACCTGACACAGATATAGCTAAAGGCTGTTTTGACAGCTGCTGTCCAGCGTACTATATACAAGTCTGTTACGCCTGTTAACTTTTTAGGCAATTCCTTATCATTATTGCCGATATTTAACCTTTTCCTAACGTGTTTCGTTTGTAAAACAATACGTACCAAGCCGCTCATTGTTTATATAAGCGCCTATAGTTTTTCGTACAGAGAGTATACATACCACAATTAGGGTTTTCCTGCAAATTCTCAGCTGGAGTAACTGTGCCTGGTCCCCAAAGGGGACCGGGTGTGAGCATCGGCACCGTTCCTTCTGTGCAAGCTCTCAATCCTATTGCTATAGCGTCTTCAGCTGCTTGTTGCCTTTTCAGAGCCACTTGAGCGGCCATGACTCGCTGCCTTTCGGCAATCAAATTGCACTTGGCGCAGGTACAATCCCTGTAACGGCAGTGTCTTTTGTGACCCTTTAGCCAGGAGACCATACCGTGATTTCGGCATCTTGCACACTTTGGCTTGCGAGCTCCTTTTTCAGTGAGCGGATAAATCGGAGCGGCCGTCGAAACGTTCATTCCGCTACTGCCTGTAACAGTTTCTCGTAATATCTTTACAGTGGTACGGTGATTGGTCGGAGGAATTCGAGTCGATCGCTGATTGGTCGGTTTATGTATTGTAATGTTACGCTTCTGGACGGCGGAAAAAAACGCCCTGCCTAAGCGACTTTTTCTTTCTTAGTGCTATCCCTTATACGTATTTACAAATAGATAACTAAGAAAGCTGTCAACGATAAAACAATTAGCAGTCGATAAGACAATATTTTACAAAGCCATCCTTATGACTTAGTCACTTCCGGACGATTTTAGATTGACAGCTACGACTATAATATGTAGCGAAATTTTTTTTATAGGGAGCAAAAGGCGAAGAACTGGAAAAATGGAGTAAATCGCCTAGTTTACCGGCGGCTATTTGTTCTGCAGTTAGCCGCATATGCGCGTAGTTTAGCGCGATTCGAATGTTTATACGTATACGCGGCAGCAATAGTAACGAGCGTTTTAGCGAGCTAATCCGTTGCAGACCGATTTCCAGCGACCGGATGCTGCGCGTTTCTAGGCGCTTCCGCGCCGGAAATGAGTATAAACACCACGGCTTCTTACCTGTAAACTAAAGCTTCTCAATTCGATCCACGGTTTAGAGATGGAGTTAATACAATTTTGTAAGCGATTAAATAAATCCTAAGCCTTCAGCGGTCGATATAGCAATGATAAGGCACTTGATTGACGGGCAGCCGATCCTAACGATGTGTTTCCTTCCTTTATCTTTCTCCCAACAAAAGTTTGATTGTGCGCTTTTCAGTTTGAATGGACAAAGTTAGCGTTTAGGTTGTAGAAGAGATTTTTTACATCTCGATCTTTATCAACATAACAGTCTTTTTTCGCCTTTCTGACGCGTGTCTTATGAAGGCAAATGGGTTATTTATACTCGTTATCCTTAACTCGTTCCAATACAGTAGCGACATCTTCTACTTTTCCCCCAATTATAACTCTTAAAAGATTTTCGACCCATGACCATTAGAATAACTAAGTTTGCGTGGGTTCAAGTTTAAGTGCATTGATATCCGATAAAATATTGTCAAAATTGTCTTATTTGACTTAAATATAGGTACTCAATAGATCATTTTTCGATTTGCAGTACGATTACATTATATATTTCATTGTAAAGAACTCCCTGTTTATCAATCGCTATTGCCCTTTTTAAAAATGCATAAGAATCGATGAATTACGCGCAGACTTTTTACACACGCTCTTAGGTAAACAATTTCAGTGATGGCATCTTTTGGTTACCTTTTTCCCTACCCGACAACATCTCTGCCATCTATCGTGTAAAATATCTGATAAGGATGGAGGTCACAACGCTATTACCCTTAAAATTCTCTTAATACATATAAATACAACAAATGTATAATAGAATGAAGTTATCTAAGAGTATAAATTTATATCAATATATATATACCGCATATAAAATATATAAATACGTTACTTTGATAGATAGTAACAATATCAAATAATTGCAAAATAGCCCTAAAACGTTCTATTGGTTATGTTGTTATCATCATAATTAGTTACAATAACTCGATTGTATTTTAGATCAAACATTGGCTGATAAAAGATTAAAAAGATAACAATTTTTGTCAACAGCTTGATAGTTATAACTTAAATGTTGTTTCGAATAATTCCTTCTTTGGAAAAAGATCAGGAGATAATAATTATAAGTATTGTATTTTAATAGAATACTATATATGTATAAAGTATGCAAAACTAATGGGATAAATGAAGACTACATAGTAACTTGTAAAAACAACACGAAACTGTCAAGATTATAGATATGTCACACACCCATACAATGGTCGTCATTTCAAGTATATACCTAAATTACTCATAAAAAAATACCTCTATTATACAGTCATAACGGATAAAAAATATTCTAAGATAAGCAAGAATAAAAAACCAAATCTTTACTTAAATATTCCGGTTTTGATAGGTCTAGTAAGAATGAAAAAAGAGGATATTATTACACCGTTACTGTTGTATTCATAGAATCATTATCTTAAGTATTCAACAATCATCATTCTAAATTTTTTTTTGTCGATTATTTACATTGATCGCTATATATCCTAGTTGTAGTCATTCGTTGTCATTTATTGACTCTAGTTGTCATTTAGTGGAAGATTAGCATTTCGTGTCATCACAATTATTTACAAGACGATTATTATTATTGTTTTTGTGGGACGTAATCGTTTGTTTAACTTTGACAATAGGCAGTTAAGAGTTTCTAGTCTTTATATACTTATTGTAAAGTTCTCATTTTTATTGTAAATATTGAACATAACTTCTGTATTTTCTTTTTTTTTTAAGAGAGAGAAATCAGAAAGAGAAGATAATTGTTTTTCTCATATTAAAATATATCTATTTAATTTATTTTTAAGTGATAAATCTTTAAATCCGAATTCAAGTTTTCGCAGCGTTCAACGACACTTGAAAAAAAGCTTCTTTTGATAGTATCTTGATAAAATACCACCCAAGTTGAGCATGATAGAACAGGTATAGTATTTAAGAATAAATAAGAAGAAAACGGAGAATATTCTATCTCTAAATCAGAGAAGACCTTTTCATTGACAAAAAAATAAAATAAAAGAGAAATATTGTTCTCTCAGGGAATTAATGATCTAAAATTTTAATAGAAAGTCATTGGAAATAATCTTTATTATAATTCTCTCATTCATTTATAGATAGTGATACCAGAAAAACAAGAATAACACTTTTACTTTTCTAGTGTTTATCTATTTAACAGAAAATGTGTTAAATGAGGGCAAGAGAGAGAGACAGAGACAGAGCGTATAATAACTAAACGGATTCTTATCATCTGAACAACATGTTTCTTTTTTTTTTATTAAAAAAGTTGAATATCAAAAAAAAAAACCACATTTATCAGTTTTAAATAACGATTACTATTATTGTTAATTGTATGGATATGATAGGTGAAGGGAACATTATAATGTAAATCATCTCTCTTTCTCTCTCTCCGTCTCCCGTATGGTAAATCATTCAATCAAGTACAATCAGGAAAAAATAGAAAATAAAGTAGAAGAAAATTAGTCTATTTCTACTCAATTATGTAATTTTATTTAATGTATATTTACAAACTAAACTGTGTAAGCCTATATATGCTTTTAGAGCCTAATAGAACAAATGAATCAAAGAGTGTGGAAGATGTATTGTAAATGTTGTTTTTTTTTTGTTTATATTATATTCAAATGGTTCTTTTTTATTTTATTAATAACTTGTATCATTTACATAAAGAGTATATTTATATAATATATACACAAGGGTTATTTTGTGTAAAATATAGTAAAACCTGTCCTCTTTTGTTAGTCCCGTGTGAACAGCCGTAATCCTTTTTACAGACATTGACTCTGTTGAATAAACTTTTATTTCTTTTTTGTTGTTTATTCCCTCCTTCTCTTGATAAAAAAAATATTAGTGGATAGGGATATATAAGAAGAAAGAGAAATATTATTCATAAGGATATATACTAATATATATAAATCTTTATAATATTTTGTTAGTTTAAGTATCTTAGTTGGAAATTTCTCTTTTTTAAGTTTTGATATTGTCGGCTGTAAGAGAAGTTAAGAGATATTCGATTCCGAAAGTGCCGTACTTGAGTTACCCCTTTTGTCGACTCTGAACACTTTACCTAATCTTTGAGGAATGTCAGAGTATATCTATTCTTTCGTAGATAAAAATTTTTTAGCTTTTTATAAGATGCCCCAGTAAGACTAGGGCGAAAAAAAATTAAACTAAGCTCATAATTTAACCCAGATCCACGGAACTGATTAGTAAAAGGCGAATGAGTTGCACGATTGAACCTGGGTTTGAGCAGTGATGACATTGTAATGTAATCTCGTAGATTACATATACGTAGGGTGCGCTTTAGCCTCTTTCGAGCTCATTTACATATTGAGGTCTGCTAAAATAGATCAAATAGTGTTTTATTTTTTGATAATAAGTATATTTTTCACACGTGTCTTATTACTAAACTTTAGCTTAAAATTGCATACAATGACTAAAGTTACACCGTAAATAATTAATAGCTTTTAAATTCGTATGATAATAATAGCAGGTTTTTTATATTTAGCTGAAAAATAGCCTAAACTCTACTATGAATTCTATTTTTGATTACAAAAAAAACATCAACTTATATATCGTTTGTAGTTAATAAAACTTTGGTAAACAACTGTTTATAATATTAAGTCCTATTACTATGACGTCAGCATCATTTTCTCTATGAAGACAACATGTAATTCTTTGTATCACCTTGACTGTTTTAATTGTTAAATTGAACGATTTTCGCATAATATTTTTACCTTAATTCTCATTAATTTTATCTCATCAAAAATTTTAATAACTTAATAACTTTTATTCATTTCTTGCTGTAGGAGTAATTATTCCATTTCAATATTATATACTGTAGGTGGCGGTGTAGTATATACGTTCACACAAAAAATAGTTCGTAAACACTTTCATAGATGTCGCTAGACGAGGTAACGAACAAACTTTACCTTATCGGTATCGCAATAAAGTATAAACGTTATTATATAACAATAAAAGTCGATCTTAGTACAAAATAAACTGACTAACATTGATGGATAGTATTGAAAAGTATAGAAAAAACTATGAAAATATATACAACAAAAGAACACGGCACCCAGTGTTCCCAGGCGGTCTCCCATCCAAGTACTGACTGGGCCGTACGTCATTTAACTTCGGTGATCGGACGAGAACCGGTGCTTGTAACGTCGTATGGCCGTATACAATAGGTAGAGACATTTGTGGCTATTTATACGTCGACGCTCGTAAAAGTTGATTAACCAATTAGGGGAATGTAAAGTTAAAAATAGAAGTTAATAGCGATACATTAGGTTCGTGTCAGTCTATTCGTATTGAAAACGGTTTAAATCTGTAAATATTCAATAATAGGGCCAAAAAAGATAATTGAAGTTTACTAAATTTATAACACTTGGAGCGGAAAAATAAAAAAAGCTCTAAGAGATTAAAATGGTAGGGCAGAGTGTAATTTAGAATTTTTTCTTAAAGAAAGTTATCTATTAAAAGAACTCTTAGATCAATGAAAGATCATCATCAATCGTTCAGGCGTAGAATCTTTCTTGCTGTAGTTTTTCATTCGGGTCATAGGCGCGTGAAGGCACAACAATCAAGTCGTTTTGCTTATACAACAATTGAACGTATTTTTTTTCTTTTTCTTATGAAATTCAAGTTACTAACACAGGACTTAAATGATAAGAAGAATAACTAAATTCTGATGTATTGTTTACGGAAGAGGCAAAGAGCATGAAAATGGTGGTGATGCACGGCTCGCTTCTCCTAATTAAAAAACAGCTATGGGAGAATAAACAAAAAGAAAGAATAAAGAGAGAAAAGAACGTTTTTTACGGTCAGATGATGAAGATTGCTTTGAAAAAAAAATACGTTAGCAATTTCCATCGAGTTATTCTAGTGAGAAAATTATGGTGAAAAATTGCAAAATGATGAAGCGAGACGGCAATAGAAACGCCCCATGTGGTCGGATAGTTGTCGCCGTCTTCCGACTAGTCTATCGGCCTAATTACATAATTAACGAGATTGTAAACGGTAAACGGCGCCTGACAACCCAGGAATTCGAAACTTTTCTTATAGAAAATTACTTAACGCGTTAATAATAATGGAATCAATATTTATCTAACGTATCGAGGTAATAGTCTGTCTCGGGGTCTAAGATCTTATCTAAAAGCGGGAAATTTTACGATTAAGTGATTCTTTCCTATTCGTTAGATTAGATGAATGATAAGGCGTGATCACGCGTGCGCGACAGATTCGCGTCGTCACATTTCCCTTTTCTTTTTTTTTCTTGTCGGATCGTGTGACGTAAGACTAGTCGACTTTTGTAAATTTTTAATTATATACTCTCTTTATTACTTTTTTAATACAATAAACACATTTAAACGACGAATATATACACCAAAAGAAATGGATAATTTCTTGTTCAATGGGAATAAACTATTCGTTATTCAAAGATAAAATATAAAGTTTTTAATTCAGTATATAATAACAATTACGATGAACACGATCCGCCAACATAGGTTCCTTGAATGTGGTGAAGAGTAATTAATCATATATGACAACAGTAGAAAAATTCCCTTGACTTCGAACACACCTGGAGATGAAGGCAGCCTATTCTAAGTAGAACCGCATAGCGAAAGTCTATTTCACGCGATTCGACTGTTCAATAGGTTAGGAATATCATACTGGGGAGGCGAAAAATACGCCACTAAATCGGCATATAAAAGCGCAAAATTTCAAATGTCATGCGAAGGGCAGTAAGTGATTGGACGTTCATTGGCCAATTAGCTATCGCCTCTTTGTAGTCCTCACCCAATGAACAGGCGTTGTATAATTGGTCTTTTAAGAAAACTGAAAAAGACTATCTTGCCTGAATTGTGCATTTAGTTTGACAGCAAGGATGTCGTCCGAATCGAAAGCAGATATCATAACAACAAGATCTTCAATTTCACCAACTTCAGCCCAAAATGAGGCACTCAGACGAATTTTACCTCTAGCCTTACCCGTTATCCTACCCTCGGTTTATCCATCTATTGAAGGTATATAAGCTAAATTTGCATATCAAAGCGATTCAAAAGCAACCTAAACCGTATCGCGATAAGAATGCAAATCAGCTTCGGCTCTTTGCTCTCAAATAAATTATGCGTTTAGAACGCGAAACGGTTTAGTTTGTCGTACACCACCGTTCGTTATGGAACAAAAGAATTACACGGCAGGTCAAGGAAGAGTCAACCAGTTAGGAGGGGTTTTTATCAACGGACGTCCATTACCGAATTCGATTCGACTCAAGATTGTCGAATTAGCTGCTGCAGGAGTTCGCCCATGCGTCATATCAAGGCAATTGCGTGTGTCCCATGGATGTGTTAGTAAGATTTTACAGAGATACCACGACACTGGTTCAATTCGGCCCGGAGCAATAGGAGGATCTCGTCCTCGTGTAGCAACACCAGCTGTGGAGCAGACAATTCAAAGGTATAAAAAGGATAATCCTGGAATGTTTAGGTAATTAAATAAATCGTTTAGAGTGAGAGAATTAGTAAGATATTTACAATCACAATAATTTATACAAGTTTGAAAGTTAAAAGTGTATCATTTCACTCATAAAAACGGTAAAAGTTAAATAGGATAAAAAAAACTCATTAAGATATTTTTACAGCTGTGAAATACGTGAAAAACTCATAAAAGATGGAGTTTGCGATAAGAACACAGTTCCAAGCGTCTCTTCGGTATCGAGAATTCTTCGTCATAATCAAGAATCGTCTGATAAAGTTAGTCATTCTATTGACGATATTCTCCGTACTCAACGTGAAACTATAATCGATGCGAAAGGTCAGTATCAATAGGTTTTAAAAAAAAACCGATTAGCTGTTTATCAATCAACTGAAAAAGAGATCTCGTAATCAATGTTATCACTCTTATTCTTGAAAGTGAATAGGCGAATAACTTATAGCAATTAGCTCGTTTGTCAAGGCGCGCGTCTATAAACAAATCCTAGCCGCGTCCCTCCTTTGAAGTGAACGACTTGGGGGATTCGAGTTTGATAAGAGAATGTTAGTTCTTATCGCCCTACAAAATAGATACACAGGTGTTTGCAATTCGGAATTGCCCGCCAACTCTCTCTATAATGAAATGAAACCTTTAAGTGTGCGTAGCCAGCGGCAAAACAACACCAGTCGTTTAATGAAGTTCGACCCTTTTTCTAACTTTTTATTACTACTTCACCCCCTCCCTCCCCTTTCTCGTATTTTTTCTTTATAAACATGAGTACATTTTTTTACAGCCGAAGATGAGGTTTCAGTCGAATCGGAACCTGGTTTAACTGTTAAACGAAAACAAAGGAGATCACGAACAACTTTTACAACTAGTCAATTAGAACAATTAGAGGCAGCGTTTGAAAGGACTCACTATCCTGACGTCTATACCAGGGAGGAGCTAGCCCAACGAACTAGATTAAGCGAAGCAAGAGTTCAAGTATGGTTCAGCAATCGCCGGGCAAGATGGAGGAAACAGGTCGGCTCCCAATGGCCCGCTCCATCAGTATATTCTAACTATTTTACACCGACGTCTGCTCCCCCACCTCCACCGCCGCCAACAGTGACAAATCCTTATCTTTCGGCACCTCCCCCACATCATCATCATCATCCACCTCCACCCCCTCCGCAACCCTCGAATTCAGTAGTTGACCAGTGGAATCCCTGGAATGGAACAGCCTACGTAAACAACTCAGCAGATATGCAAGATTCGCTTCTTCGTTTTAGATCGAGAGAATTAGGAATTCTTTCCTATTAGAGGCTATCAAAGAAATAGAATAATAATAAATAAAGTTATAAAATTATTGAGGACGAAAGAGTAAGAAATGAGGAAGAAAAGCTTAGAACCAGAACAAAAAAAGGAGTTGATGAAAAAAAGGGGTTTTCGTTTCATATTATAAAAGTTGGGTGGAATAATAGTTCGATTTTGCCGACTCATTCATCCAACACAGCGTGCTACCTGTTAGGCCTGTAATTATCCGACCTTCTAAATGCTATAAAAGAATATTATATACACGTATATATTGGAATAAAATAAAGTTCCGTAAAAAAAAATAAATTATATCAGAGTGTCATTTTTCTCTCTCGAATCAATTCGCACCGTCGATCGCCACGCCCTTATGCTCCTTATCCATCTGTTCGTAGGGTGGGAATTGAAGGGACAATAAGCAATGGTGTATAGATAGTCCCAGTAGTGATGGAAAGAGAACGCCATCGCGTGGTTTTTTTTTCTCTTTCTCTTTTACCCCCACGGTCGAAGTCACACCTGCATAGACTATAACGAAAATGTTGAGATTTACGTTTTTTACATTCAAAGGAGCGAGCGGGCGAATGAAAAATGAGCGCAACGATTTTTTCCTTGCGGCTAAATGGAATGGCCGGTCGCAGCGGGATTTTTGCTCTCACTGGTGATTTTAATGACGCGTTTCCATTTCACTTTGAACGTTAAATTGTATGTACGTAAATGTACGTATTTTTCAACAAAAGAAAATAAATAAATCGATATAAATGAATTGCTTTTATTACGTCATTTTATGTTGACTCATTTTAATTCATACAACATAACGATTTGGACCACTAGAACACCCTAATCCCAACAACAAAAACAACAAGTTTGATGTGAATCATTGTTTCAAATATTTAAAATTGGTTCTGCTTTTATAATTAATATATACAATTGCTTTAATTTTCTATACATAATTCTTTATGATATGTTATGTATAAGGAAATCGCTTATAAGTGTAACTTTCCGATAAATCTAATTACATAAAATGTACTTGTATAATGTTGAATTTTGTGTGTTTGTGTGTATATCCTAGATATATAAATATATATATATAAATAAATAACTCTTTCTTCGATGAAACTGGACATTTTACTTCTTCTAGCTTGAATGGAAAAGTAATTGCTCCAATTCGTCGGCTGATCTTGCCAGAAAAGCTGCCGATTCTCTATAGCCCGCAACCAGACTCTTTATGGTAGTTACTTCGGGAGATGTAAGAGAGCGTTTTGAGTTTCTTTTCAACGATAAATCAGTTGGTCCTTTAATGAAAAGGTGGTTTATGAATAATTTATCAATTTATCTTACTTTTCTATTTGTACCCTTTCATTTTATGTCAATTAGATGTTAATTATATAGTCTATTTATGGTCAAGTGTTGAATAATAATTAATTAATTGAGTTAATTGAAAAGTTTTAGTAGTTGAAAGAAAATGTTAAAATTCTTACCGTTTTGAATTGGAAAGGGTAGTGAATTCTGCGAAGGTGGACAAAACTCATTAAATGGCGGTCGAAAGAATGAATTATTAGGAAAAGCCGTTGAAAATGGTGACGAGAAGTCGGCTTGAATAAATGGAGTTGAATTTTGAGTAATTGATTGAATTGATGCTGTAGTTGTTGCTAAAGTTGTGGTCGTTGTCGCCGTAGGTAACGAGGTGTGAAGGGATTGAGAGACAGGAGGCTGAAAGAAGTTATTTTTAAATTAATATTAAATTATAAAAGTAATGAGTATTCGCTGGGGAGGTGAAGTTAAGGAGGGTTGATCTGGCGCCTTTTTTATGTCCTTTGAGACTATTAAATTGAATGGATGGGTAAGCGGGAGAAAGGGAACCTACCGCTGTCGAAATCGGATCCAATCCCATTCTCATTCGTTTTGCATTATTTGCTTCATTCTCGCATGCTTGTGCCAAAAGGCTTTCTGCTTCCGGAGAAACTAAATGATGACCGGGTCGCATCTGAAAGAGGACGTAGAAAAACATTATTATGATACACCTTATAAAGTATAGATGGCGCTCAATTATAGACGAAAAATCTTACTAAATCCATACGGCTATCTTTAGGCTGCTTAAGTCGTCTACAGGATTTTAAATAAGTTCTAATTCGTTTTCTTGAACGGTCCTGAAATTCCGGAAATTGACGTTGGCAAGCTTCCAAAATGGCTTGGATTTTCTCCTTTGGTTGTTTCGATATTGGTACAGATCGATCAAGGTTTTCATCGACAAACAAACGAACGAACATCTGCACCGGGTTTCATAAAAAAAACACACAATTAACTATATAACTAGAGGTTTATGCTAAGAAAGTCTATATATTATAGGATAGGTAGTATATACAACATATTATAATATTAATAATTACGTTGAATGCTTTGAGCCTTTGTGTATCTATGCCCGACGAGCATAGTTTTTCGTCTTCCTCTTCCTCCTCCTCTTCTTCTTCTAGCGTAAGAGTAGCTTCACTCGCTTTTGACGAGCTCTATTAAGGAAAGGAAGTAGAATGAAGGCCGATTCAGAAAAAAAGCAACCAGAAACGACGCTTCGATTGCTTTTGAAGTAAAATTGATTAATTATGATACAAACATCAACGCTAATTTCATCGCTTGCTCTTCTCTTACATGGCTTTTGGCTGGTAGGTGGCGACTTAACTGGCGTTGGAGTTCTACTATTCTCGGCAGATGGCGTATCTGAATTTATGAACGAGTAAGTTATGAGAGTTGATATTAATAATAGAAAAAGTCACTTTTATACCTGAATTCGATGCGGTATTCTGCTGTCCCGTATTTATCTTATCATCGATCTGAGGACTGTTACAGTTCACAAGGCTTTTATCGTCACAACTTTCAATGGTAGACATACTTTCCTGCATGGTAGAAAACAGACCGCTTTATAATACACACTATATATCAATAAATACATAAGCTTATTACGGTTATTAGTAAATAAGCTTCTAACTTTCAAATCATTTTGGAAGAGAGAAGGAAAAAATAGAAATTTTAAACGATTTTTCGGATAGAAGCCAAGCGATAAAAAACAGCCAACTATATTCATATTTGTTAAATGTATATACTATATGTATATTGTATATACTATATATGTAACTCCATATACATTCATATATATGTATATAGATATATTAATTTGAGTAATATCTGTACATACATTGTATATACTTTATAATACAGAATATAAAAAGTAAATGCATGCGATTATTAGATTGTTAATACTTCTCTTCAGATATCTTGGTAATATATATACAGTAGTATAGATTGATAAATATATTTATATAAATATACTGTATATATCCAATATAAAGTATATACAGTGTCTATATATATATATATATATATATACATAGACATATTTATATTTCAAGCCCTTTTCATATTGATACATGTAGTAATTATTATTTAGGTAAATAAATAAAAATATGGAGAGAAGTACGCATATACTTTTTCATATGAAAATAAATGTAGATGAATTAAAAGCTATAAAGACATAGATATAATATAACCAGAAAAGAGAGAGAGAGAGAGACAGAGAGAGAGAGAGAGAGAGAGAGGAGTTAAAAAATCTTTATAGATTAAGGACTAGTTATAGGCCGAAGGAATTATAAGAATAAAAATAAAGTTAACATAGAAAAAATAATTGTTTAGTCTGCCCAACAAATATAGTTTGGAAAAAAAAAAAGTAAGCAGAAAATTTTCCACACTCGTTTACCTGCGACGAACGGATCGATACCTATACGGCGGTCCACTGCAAAATTTACACGCGCCCCGACTGCAATAGAACGTATATATACATATACCTGCGTATGTCTGCAATATGTTACTGCATGGCGCTCAGTCTCTCTATTAATTTTTTTTTCTTACGTCGTTCACCTCTTATAACTGTAGGCCTATTTATGTATATATATTTTAGATATTCGATAATGGCGCAAAGCGATCAAGATTTTGCGGTTGAGCATATTATTATTATTAGTTATTTTCTTTTTTGTCATCTTCCTGCAGGTTTCTTGTTGAATGAAAATAATAGGAAAAATGATACGTACCTCTTCAGTTTTGTAAATATTTCCAGTGTTATTCGTTCCTAAAGCGGGCACCATGCCGGGAAACACGGCTTGTCTCATCATTCTTTGCTTTTGATCATTAAGATAGGCCAATGTAAAAGGTACGTTTGGATCGGAGATTTGAGATAATTTAGCGTCCTTGGCGAATTCGTTAAGATTTTCTTCCGTTAAACGTCGAACGGGTTCGTTATGGTATTTGCTGTAGGCGTCAGAACGAACGGTAGACGGCGTTTTTTCCTTCCCGCCGTTTTCCGCGCCGCCGACGACGTGCATACGCTTCTGACAATCGGAGCAGGCCATCAAAAATCGAGTGACGGCCTCCCGAGGCAAAAAGGCGTAAGTTTCGGCAATCTGTTGGGAGGGGATTGAAAAATTGGGATATTAACGAGTTTTAAGCCTTTCCAAAGCAAAGTATATAAGATGGATATATAGGCCTAGTGTAACACATACAAAATATAGACACTATGTACAAATAAGTAAAAAAATTTTCAATGTGTACACAAATAAAAATTTAGAGAGTGTAAAATAAAACTGTAACGTATTAAAAGATGTTCCTGTAATATAATAAACACCTAGTTTATATTGGTATATATAAATATATGGTTCTTATATATTTATGTATATCTATAGGTGTTGTATATTTACTGTTTATATACAGTGATATATATATATATATGTATTTTATATTGAACCTTAAAAAAGTATTAGTTCAAAGGTTTTGAGTTGGCTTGGGAATCTAAATGCTATTTTTTCCAGATTTTCTCTTCAACCATATACAAACCTATTATGTATATTATACTGCAAAATTTTTCAGACCGTATGCGAAAATATTATCTATAGTTTAATACATATACTCGTTTTCCTATATCTTTTATATACAGTTTATGTGATATATTACGGACCGTTATATTGAGTGTACAGTATACTGCATCTAAAAAATAATGGAAATTAAAAAATGAAGAAAAAGCGTCACCTACCGCTCTATAAGTTCTCTTTTGACCGGCGTGTTTTCCAGCTCGACCGTCCATCTCAACGTGAACATTGTAGATTATATCGAAGAAATCCTCAACTATAGCTACTCTTTTGTAACTTGTTACTTCCTGTCGGTCATTCTACGTAGATCAGAAAAATACATTGATAAAATGAATAATTATTTAGTCTATTATTAAATCTATACTCTGTGTGTTTATATATTTCATAATTCACCTTATAAAACATAGTCTTATTCATTCCAAGATACGAATGTTCGAAGAAAAATTAATTTGTTTATTCGAATAATTAGCACCAACCGGGTCGACGGACACCGTAGACACTGGCCGTCATTACTGTCATATTAGACGGTACCGGCTTTGCTGTGGGAAAATAATGCGCTATTTTCCCTACGCCGAGGACGGGCTTAAGGCCGAAAGGGCTAAAGGTGAGTGGGGCGTCTCCCCCAACCGAATCAAAGCATTCACGTGTTGGACGCTGCGGATCGATGACGGTAATTGGCGAACGAGTACCTGCTTAGACGCTGCCGGTGGGCGTCTCGTTCGGTGCGGATCAACGTCCGATACCGGTGGCTCGACGCTCGCGGCGTTTCTTTTTTCCCTCTCTCTCTCTCTCTCTCTCTGAGTCTCCCTCCTTTTTTTTTCTTTTTTTCTCTTTCCCTCCTTTTTGCTCCCTGGCTGTGTTTCTTTCCTATTCTTATTCTCTATCCTGTTCTATATCAGTGTATCTTTATTTTTGCTCCTTCTCCTTCTCCCTCTCCCTCTTTATCTATCTATCTATCTATCTACTTATTTCTCTTGATGTCTCTCTTTCGCTTAAAATATTTTCTCTTTTACTTTTCTCTTTTTGTTTACCACTTTTCCCCATCTCTGTAGTTCACTATTTTCCTGTCCAAGTTATTTATGCATACACTCTTCTTCTCTGGCTGACCGTCGCAAATCGACCGGAAGCCGCGTCTCGTCATCTCTAGGGCTTCCTATATAATCTTAATTGAATTTTGGACGAGTGCGGACCGTCCAGGCGTCTAGAAAAAGGTATAAGAAAAGAAAAATCTGTGCGCGTAAGCGCCGAAACCAAACAAAGTAGTCGCAGGCCTAATTGACGCCAAACAAGCGACGGCCGCTCGAAACTCGACGCCTAGTGCGTGACTACGGAGTCTTCAAAGCGTTGGGCGTCCCACGAAGCTGTGTTCCGACCCGGGCGTCGCTATGACTACCGTAGACGCTAGCAGGTCTCAACGACTATGTGTATACACGACAATAGAAAGGCGCGGCGTCTCTGAAGCTACGGTCAAGTAGCCATCGGCATCACCCTTTGATGTTCAACAGAGCGCAGGTATTCAGGATATCTGTCAAAGGCGCATCGCCGCATTTCGCCGTACAAAAGGCGTCTCTCGACGCACCGGAAGCGCGCCGTCTATTAGCCGGCCGACGGGTCGTGGGCTGCAGACAGCCTCCGGCACCTTTTTTAACACGACTTTCGACTTAGCAAGAAGACAGTAGGTAGGCAGGTACATGCGTGCATCAGATAGTTGCTTCGAAGCGTCTCTCCGTGAAATCGGTATCTCGTCGCCCGGCACGATCGTCGACTTTTGATGAGCGTCGACTACTAACGAGCCGGCTACGCCCGAGGCCGGACAAAGCGCCCGGCACGCTCAACGTTTTGGGTGTGGCGTTTTTGCATTTGATGGCGCAGGGCGTGTCCGCGCCAATGGCGTCTCTTTGTCTAGGCCTACACGAAACGCTAATTAACGCTTCGGCTAATCTGATTGTTGCCGCGCGCGAGAGAGAGCTCCGGGTACCGTTGCGGCGCTGTCCCATCGATGAATTGATCCGCTGCATGTATGCAGCGTCTTTCAAGGCCTCTCTCCACGCTCAGGTGTAACGCCTCCGGACGTCCGCGCGTGAAATAAGGGAGAAGTGAGGTGAATGAAGGAGAATATATATATAAACTAGAATGAGAATTACGAGAAAAACAGAGAAAAAGAGCGAAGGTAAAATTGAAAAATAAGAGGTTAACGAGAGAAAGAGAGAGAGAGAGAGAAATAAGGACGGGGAGAGAGTATAAAAGATAGGCAGGTAGGTAAAGGTAGGTAGGTAAAAGGGAAAAGAGAGTGAGCGACAGAGAGAGAAGGGACTAGGTGGATAGAATTGTGCATAGATAGAATGATAAGACAAACGGTACTTACAGTAGATTTACTTGGTATATAGAGAATCTGAGTTGAACCGTCTCTGCCTAATTTGAAACCTTTAGCTTTTACCCAAAATCGAAATTTCGAATTCTCCGATGTTGCTGTTTCCTCTCCACTGAGAATCTTTGCTATTCTTGCGTACTTAGCCAGAGTAACTGTCTTAGTTTTACCAGAATCTCCATAATTTTGTAATGCCCAAGATTGGAAAGTGTTGAACATTTGCTGCCGTTTCGATTCGTTCATGGCGGCGTTTCAACTGCCGGGACGCCGCGATGCGGTGTATAGGCTCCCCGACACGGCGAAAGATAGCTCATTAGTATAATCAGCTATAGATGGAGCTCCGGACGTACCGTAATATATGTTGTATATAGTCCTTTTTTGCCAATACCTCTCTCCTCTATATACTCTACAACTTATATATCTTTAAGTAGGAACAGTATTTAATTTATTATTATAATTTTTTGTAGATATTTAAATTTCTCCTTTTCTCCTTTGTTCTCCGTTCTGAGAGCTGTTTTTGGGCCTTAAAATAATACTCAACCTGACAATAATTAGTACCTTTATGTTATTTAGATTAATAATAAGAATTTTCAGAGCTAAGAGAGATTTGAATTAGGTGCGTAGGTATATAGATATTTACTCGAGTATATAGGTATAAACTGTTCATATACTGTGAAATGTATACTGTATGAATATTTATTCACCTATGCGTGTAAAATTTGTAACAAAAAGCGTTAAATATTCTTTATATTTGCTAAAATACGTAGTTTTTTTTTCTTTTGGTGTTTCGTGGGCGAAAAAAACAAAAACAAACTGTCGCGACTGCAACAGGACGAGAGTAAGAGATGATTGCAGGTGTCGAGTTACTCATTACCGAGCGCCGCGTCCCGCTCGACGTACAGAAAAACGCCGTAATAGGTCGACTAGATGCTTTGGAAATTTGCAATTTTTTTCTCTCCTCTAGCATGCATGAATGGCAAAGCGCGAAAGTCGGCGCATTGTCGGCGTCGGCTAGGTGCAAACCGCCTGCGTTCGTTCGGTGCAGAAAACGCCTTTCAATTCGAGCGTATACCTGCAGTACGCGATCGTTAGACGCCCCTTTAATAGGCCTAGGTACAAAATACATACTGCGTATATACTATACAGTGCGGACGTCTCATGTTGAAGGTATATAGTAAATAAAAAAGAATATGTGACGATGTTAATTTTAAAATATATTTAACAACATTATTAAATAAATACTGAAATGTATATGTATATATACTGTCTATACTGTACATATTGTATATATAAATAAACATATATATATATATATATATATAGAAATTTTTCGACTCATTTTATTAATATTTATATGAAACTTACAATCTTGCTAGTATATTATATCGTATTTAGTGTTTATAGGCCGTCTGGGGACTGACAACCGCTTTTGAGATGGGCGGACAGACATAAGCCGATAGAGGCCTAGACGATGCGGATTGTAGGCGTAATATAAAGATTAAAAAAGGCGAAGCGTCCCGCCGCTAATTAGGCTGCCGAGAGACGCAGCAAACAGTCATTTGGCAAATGGACGAATCGTCCGGATGCCGCGTCATGCCACCCTATTCAACAGCGATCTGCGAGAGCGAACAGGTGTCTGGTTCGCATTGTTTCATGGAGAGAGACGCTCGGGGTATACTGACGTACACCTCTATATGTTTATATATATATATATATATACTGTACGTTATGAAAATTCTATATGTAACTTAACAGACATGTTTCGAGTTTTACTTATACACTATATGTGTGTCTACGTAATGGTATACAGATGCTTAACAACAAGAAGCATACGTTATATAGAAGAGAACGTATGTCCAAGATTTTCTTGTCACAAGAATGGAGCTCTTTCTTTCGTTCTTTATCTTTTAATATAAGTTATAGAAACGTAGCATATTATATAAAACCTCTAGATATCCAGCATATACAGATATATTTATATTTTATAAAAGCTATATATAAAGTATAGGTACATATTTTATATATGCCTGATACTATATATCCAACATACTGTACATATCTATATGTATATAACGTATATAAATGGAAAATGATTGAAAATATATATATAATATAAACCCGTATAAGAAATTTTTACATCTACATAGTTGAGAGACACATTAGACTGGGACGTTTGGATGCCAACTGGTTGCTATGGTGTTCCGACTTCAAAGAGCCGACGTCGTCCGTTTTTAGTTCGGTCAGTTTGCCGGTCGAGCGTGTTGTTTTTCGCTTCGACGCTCGACGCCTTGATTAGCTCAGCGGCGTTACTTTGTAGAAGCACGTTTTTTTTGGCTAATTCCTAAGGCTTTTTCCAGTCACGCCATCTTTTTGATTCAGCTTCTTCGTGTTACAGCTTGTATTCTTTTAATTAACCCTATAGATGGCGCCACAAGACACAAATTCGGAAAAATTATTTTCAACAAGAAAATTTTTTATTTCTTTGTTTTTTGTTTTGGGAAATAACACTGATAAGCTACATAGGCCTAATGCTGTTTATTAAAAACCAATTGTAACAAAAAGTATATATGATTCATTGTAAAGTTATGAAAAAAACAGATAGAGTTAGAGAAGAAGATGGAAGGAAGGATGGGAGGGAATGGGTGAAAGAATAATAATAATATTATTGATAATAATGGTATTACTAATAAAAGAAGAAGAATGAATGAATGATATTAAATTTAAAATTAAATAATAAATAAAAGATGTAATAGAGAAGATCTAGAATAACAAAAAAAAGATGAATTGATCATATATCAATAAAGGAGTATAAAACAACTTTTATTTCTATATTTATATGACAATTGAACTTGTATATTTCTATAATTTCAAATGAACTATATTAAAAATAACATAAAGATATAGAAAAATAAATTTATTAACGGGTTATACACACATACTAACGTGTATAGACTGTATATATCTAACTTATCTATTTTATTTATTGAATCTTTATAGTATGAATTCCAATTAATCGGCTTATTTACTTTAAAGCACATAAAGTAGATGTATTCAGGTTTCGTATTGAGAAATACGTGAACTGAATATGCGAAAGTGTAACCTGGTACACATGGAAATGTATATACATTTGTAAGCCTATGAGATAGACCTTGTAAACTGTAAAATAATAATAAAAAAAGAAAAAGAAAAGTAGAGTAAAAGATAGAATTTAGTCTATAATTTATCAAAGTTTATCAAATTAAAACAATAAAAACAACCATATATATAGTACATTTTGTATAAAAAAAACAGCTATATATATATGTATAACAGTATATGATTTAAAAAAAGCTTATATATATATACATATATAATATTATTCCAATATTTCTAGAAGGACGATATAAACTGTAATTATTAGCACATCTCTTGCAATTACTTACCAAAATACCACTACAGCTAATTGACCATGAACAAATAAAGTCATTATTTATTCAGCTTTATAGTTCAGTCTAGTTTTATTGTGTAGCCTACACCATTTATTATAAAGAAAGAATTATGAACAAGTCATAAAAGTGTATATCTTGTTTGGAAGGAATTTCCTATTTATTTATATTTCTCCTCCTATCTCCCCCTCTTCTTCCTCTTCATAAATATATATACTGTATATATATATACTGTATATTTATACTGTATATATATATATATATATAAATGCATATACTTTATAGAAAAATGTAGAAAAATGTTAATAAATAAAAAAGAAGTTGAAAGAAAATGATAAAAAAAGAAAGAAAGAAAGAAAGACAGAAAAAAAAACAATCAAAACAATAATAAAAGTTTTTTAGAGTACGTTAACATTTTTGAATAGATGTAAATGAACATCATTCCCTTGTCTTTTTTTTCTCTTTTCTAACCTCTTCACCTTAGCTGTTACGATAATCAACGAAATTACTAATGCGGCAATAACGAGTGATAAGAATATGATAATAATGAGATAGTAATGAAATTCGTTAGAATGTTCGTAAATTGTCTTCGGTGCTTTGGATGAACTGATAACAATATTTTTAGTTGTCTCTGACTGCCTTGTTCTTGACAGTGTTGACGATGTTGACGCTGTCGATGTTAACGTCGACTCGGTTTGTATTGATTCGGTTTGTGTTTTATCGACATTAGTTGTTTCCTGTAAATTTACTCGGTTTTCTTTTCTCATCTTCAATTTTCTTGTATTATTTCCGGTGGAAAAATTGACTATAATCATATTTTTTTCAGAATAATCAATATCAACTATTATTGTTAAATCACTGTAAATAACTGGATAAAAATGTAAAGATGACTTGTTAAATAAATCTCTAGCGTATCCTGACGCAAAAGTTAACTTCGAAGAATCAAGTTTACCATCTTCAAAGAACTCTGCAGTTGGACACACACATCGATGACATGCTTGAGGTAGTTTTTTTCTTTTTATCTGCAATCGACGATTGTCAGTTAAGGACACCCACACGCCAAACATGTCCTTGAATGTTATGTCTTCAGTTTCGCTGTCATCTTCAAGTCTACAAGAACGAAGATATATTGGCGCTTCAACATCCGTTCCGTAAATTGATAAGGTAGCTGATACAAAGTTAGAAAAAGAGGATTTCGGTTCAACTCTTATTATCCAATCACCTAACGCTTTTTCTCCCCAAAAGTGAACAGTCATAAAAGGCCAGTTAGCATTGTCTTTGGAACTAAAATTAAGATCGATGTTTTTCACCTTTGTATCAGGGACAATACCGCTTAAAATGGACGATGTAATACCTGATGGAGAAGTTATTGTCGCTCTTAGATTTTGTCGACTCGATGACTTTAAATCAAGAGCAAGAGTGACATGTTCGACATATCGAACAAGGCAATTGATGGCGGAAATACGGACACGGAATGTTGAATTGGAATGGGTGTTCAACGAAGTAATTGAGCAGTTTTTTCTCGGACCCACTCCTGGCCAACTTAGAGCCAGTCTTACAGCCCCGTAAGCATCGGCCAAACCGAATCCAAAGAATTTATTAAAGGCCAATCCTGCAGAGTTAAATTGAAAACTAACACTCTCCATTTCTCCAAAGACACGGGCAGTAAGCGCGAAAATATATTGAACGTCTCGCCAGCTTAACGCTGGGTTAGCGTCTATTAATAGGGAGGAGACGCCGGTTATTAGAGCAGCTGAGGCTGATGTAGCGGAAAAGTCATTTTTGCAATAGCCACCGTTTGATCCCGATCCTGATGTCCATACTAAACTATCCAAGTTATTATCGTATCTCGAAACACTCGATGTGTAGGCAGTAATCAAGGCTGAGGAACACTTTTCGTTATACAGAGGTCTCTTAAGCGACTTATAGACAGAAGTGACGCTAAGCATGATTGGTGATGTTGAGTAACCGTCGTAAGCGCAATCGTCATTATAACCACCGTTTCCGGCCGCATGCACAATTATTAGACCGCGACCGTCCCTGGCGGTTTCCGCTTGCTTTAAAGCTATTCTCAGCGATTCTTTGGGTCCCGAATACACGTGCGGCTCAGGTCCCCAAGCTGCTACGGCGATATCACTCTCTGCAGCAGCAATTCGAAAAGCCCTTGACATTTTTTCGTCCACTTTCTCCGCGCTAAGAGGGTTAATACCTATCAGAAAAGCTTCATAGGCAACACCCACTCCACAGTACGAATTATTACCCTCCCCTGCCGCCACTGACATAACATCTGTACCATGAGTCCACCTTCTTTCATCTTCCGGTTTGTTGGTGACGTTATCCGTGACGTCATGATTTCTCAATATCCTCCTCTTTAACTCTTTATTGGTTACATCTAATGTATCATCAACTACAGCTATAGTTGTATTCTTTCCTGAAACACCGAGCCTTTGCCAAGCCTCGGCTATTCGCATGCCACTTTGTTGTCGCTGCAGTAAATCAGAGCTTCGTAGATAAGATAATTAGATAAAGTGTACAGTATAAATAAAAGAATTAATTGCGCAACATTTCGCTAAAAGAAAAGAAAACGCAATGAATGAAAAGTAATAGGGTATTAAATTTGCCGAGGAAAATAAGAGGAATGAGTGATAGGTAGATAGATAGATAGATTGATAGATAAAGGAGTGATTGGATGAAAGTGAGAAAGAGGTAGAAGAATTCAGCGCGAGAGTAAAAGAGAAGTGTAAGAAGAGTCAGAGGAGTAAGAAGAATATGGAGAAAGTGAGAGAGAGAGAGAGAGAGACAGAGAAGTAGAAAAAAGTAAGAAAGTTTAGTGGTAAAAACACATTTCCTTACCAAGTACCACATTTTCGGCCACATTGGATCGTTGAATGATTGCGTAAGGTCCTATACAAATATAGAAACATAATGATATATGAATAGGCCTTAGTAAAGAAAAAAAATATTAAGTTGGTCTAACCTCGTTTTGACTCATCCTTACGTTACCGATATGGAGGGCAAAAAATGCGGCGAGAACGGCAAGCATAGCTCCCTTCTGTGGCCGCAATTCCATCCCCGCTTTTTTCTCTTCCGCGTTACCGGCAGACGGCGCTCTGGAAGCACAATTCTCGACTTCGAGCGACCTACCGCAAATAATAATCGTTTATGAAAGTTCTCCAGTACATAAAGGCCTGTGACAGCTGCCGCTTTACCCACGCTTTTTAAAAAGGTAGGCCTAGATCTATATAGCTGAGAAAAATTTCTTTTATTTTAAAAAAAGAAAGTAGACGAGAGAGAGTGAAAAAGAGCGAGAGAGAGAGAGAGAGAGAGAGAGACAGTGAGTGAGAGAGAGATGCATTAATACTAAATATATATACATATGTATATCAACGGTATGCTTTATATAGTATATATAAATATGCTTAAGTATATAATATATACAGGTTATACAGTATATACATATATTTATGTATAGTATATCTTAATATATATATATATATAAAGTATATATCTCAGTAGATTACAGCATATATTCTAAATATATATATATATATATATATATACATATATAGTATTAGATATATAGTTTATATATTGTGTGAAAAATTGCCAAGTTGTTAATTTAAACATTTAATAAATATGTTTATTTAAATAAACAAGATATGAAAAGTTATATGAAAGCTAAAGAGAAGAGAGGTTTTTATTCATTTTTTTTATAGGAAGTCCGTTTCTGGCACACACCTGCCCCCATGTACTTCTGCTCATTCTCTTTCGCCTTTCGCCCCCGCTATACTCGTATTATTTCGGCTAACCCACCCGTTTCTGTATATATGCTAATGTTATATTATATGCGCGCACGTTTCAAGCATATGTTTACACGCGAGACATGTATATAAAACGCCAAAGAGAAAGAAGAAAACAACAAAAACAGTCGGTGTTTGTCAGTTCAGTTTGACGTTTTCAGCCGTCAGATGTCGCTCTCCGGAAGAGTTTTCCGCTTCGACGATCGGTTTTAAGGGATATCGTTCGGACAGTTCGGATAATTTGTGCGACGCTGTTTCCGATTCGATATCGGTTGTCGTTGAGGAAGTTGATTGTTGGGAACTCCTCGATTGCCTTCTATTCATATAATGTCGTATTAAATCTGGTAGACTAGGTTTAACTTTCTTCGATCTATTAAAATCGACTGATAACCTAGACAGCCTCGTCATGGACATTTGGGACTCTTTTCGGGCCTCTCGTGACGCTTTCCGGCAATTTTCGAACGCTCTTCTTCTAGCATCGCACACCTAATGAAAAAGGGTCTTTTAAGTCCGTAACTCTATAAATGAAAGCAAACTAAAAGAACTTGAAACATTATTCTTGAACATTTCTTCACTTGTCCGAATGATGTTTAAAAGAAACAAAAAAGAAAACATACCAATAACTCAGACATTTACCATGCAATTAAAAGAAAAAAATGGTATAGAGTAATAGAACAAAAGTAAAAGAGAAAGAGATAGTTAGGCAGAGCATTGAAAGAAGAAAGAAAGAAAAAAAAGAGAGAACGAGGAATAGATAGATAAAGAACAGACGTCTCCATCATGCCAAATACTTACGGAAAACGTTGTATTTTAGTATAACTTTTATTTGTTTGTTTGATCTTTTAACTGGTTTATGCTTTTTAGTAATTGTTTGTTTGTTTTGATTGGGAGTTTTGAGTAATAGAAGAAAGAAAGAAAGAAAGAAAGAAAGAAAGAGAGAGAGAGAGAGAGAGAGAAAGGAAGGAAGAGGGTAGAAGTAGAAAGCAAAAGGAGAAAAAAGAAAATTAAAATTATTTAAAGTGTATAATTAAATTATATAACATACTGTATATATATATATACTGTATATATATAGTACATAAACAAGTTTAATTTAATGAGAGATTTCTGAAGAAGAATAGAAAACGAGTAAGTATAAAACGAACCTCTTTAGTGGTGAAGCAGTACAAAGTAGCAACCAAGAAACCCTATAAAAAAAGAATCATTTTACAGTTTAAGGTGAATCAAATAATTTCTATATATATATACTAATATATATATATATATATATATATATATATAGTATTTATACTATATTATACAAAATATTCGTATCTAATAACCAATAAAGCGTTGTTTATTTATTGATTTTACTACATCTATTATTCCAATAAGTAAAAGTTTTAATGTGCTTTCTTTTTGTCTTTCTCCTTAATTAAATATTATGAAAGAAACTTTTATTCATTAATAAAAAAGATTATCTCGATAGGAATGTTATTTTTTTCATTAGTAAATTCTTTAGTAAGAATATTAGACTTGTGTTTGTACTTGAAACTTTATATTATCTCACTTACTAACTCTTTTTTTCTCACTCACTCACTCACTCACTCTCTCTCTCTCTCTCTAAACACACACACTCATATATATATATATATATATATATATAAAAGAGAATAATATATCCTAACTTAATTCTTGCATTATATTTAATTTTCTATAATTTTATAAAAATAGTTTTTTGTCGGATTGGCAATTCCGACAGATGCTACAAATATTATTATAAACAAATAAAAATAATCTTCCATATAGTTAATTGTACGGCATTATTTTTATTATTAAAACAGACTTATATGATATTGAAATTATACAATAGTTTATGTACTGTATAGATGTTGCTATATAGCTTATTTCTTTAGTTGTAACATCTAATAAAGAGATATGGATTATTAAAATGTTAAAATAGATAAAGCTCTGTTAATATTATCTAATATTTTAAAGAGATACATTGTATACTTTTATTTGTTCAATCTTACGTACTTGACTGCTCTGAACAATGCTTGCAATCACTTGATATGGAGGATAAAATTTTGGAGTGTAGAGAATGAAGAAGAATTGTATTCCAAAAACCGGAATGAGGAAGAAAGTAGCTCTGAGTGCTCGCCTATTAAAAACAGTAAATACAGTTAGATATATAAGCAAAAAGCATATATTTGTATGCAATTGTACGAAACAAAAAGAGAATGATAAATGAGAGAGAGAATAGTAAAAGTCTCTCTGAACGGTACTCAAAAATAAAAAAAATTACTTCTCCTTATTTTTATAATTTGTCCCTTTTATGTTAGTTTTTTTTCCCTGCTTAGGATAAGTGAAATGGTAAAAATGAAAAAAAAGAACCTTAGGGCGTAAATTCTCGAATCACTGACGTTTGATCGTAGTTTGGTGCAGAGAATGTACTCGATTCGGATTAAAAAGAAGGTATTTAACTGTAAAAAGGAATAAAATGAAATATTAAATCAAATACGATTTTTATTTCTTTATTTGATAGTTTTTTTTCTATTAAAATGAATCTATTTATCAAACAAGAATGAGGAAGAGAAAGGATAAAAATTGATTAAGAAAGTAAACAGCTTACCGTGAGAAAGATCATATTGGGGACGTGTTGAATGTACTGAAAATTATGCAGAGATGGAGAAGAGGACACCGTCCAACACCTGTTACCTTTTTCTTTAACTAACATAACAATCGAATAAGTTCCAACAGTAAGAACGGGGCAAACTGTAGATGGCGTTCGAATTAATAAAAAACGAGAAATATACGTTTTAATGTAGAGAGGAAAAACAAATAGACGTGAAGGATAATACATATTGAAAAAGAGATTGAAAAGAATAAGGAAAGTAATAATACGGAAAAATTACGAGAGCGTCCTATTAACTTTATTAAAAAGATACTTACTCCACGTAAAGAGAATATATTTCATTAGCGATTCTGCTTGAACAATCTGCATTACTTTAGAAATTCTTTTATATAAATAGACGCCTTCGCAGAGCATTGCTCCGTAGACGCAACTATAACCATACTGTTCGCTGACATGCAATAATCTGCACCAGTTTGGATGAGCCGCCATAAAAGTATCGGCAGGTTTTCTTATATTTTGAAAACGGTCAAAAACCATAATATTCGTTGCAGTTCTCGCTATGGAGGAGAAGAGCATGGCGAAGAAAAGGTTAATATGTAAACGATTTCCTTCGGTATTCAATAAAGATTGGCGTAGATTCTTTATTAAGAAGATTAGAAAGATACTCAATAAGAGTGACGATATGCTGATGGATTGCCCGGCAAATTCTACATAAAGGCCTATTTTCATTATCTTTATATCATACTGTAAACAAACTAGATTTTCCCGAGTGTAAATACAATATATAAATATATACCTTTGTATCGTGGCACTCGTTAAAGTCAGTCCACTCATTTCCGTATGTTGGATGAGTTAACCATGTTCCGTTATCAAAACATGTCTTCTTGGCCCTTGGACTCCTCCAGAATGTCCATTCGTTAGCAAAATACATTGGACATTTTTGGCTAACCGTTCTTCCACCGCTTGTTCTCCGCCAGCATGCGATTCCGTCCCATGTAGCGGGACAGTCATTTTCTTTGAATTTTCTTTCATTCATTTGCATCAGACAACACTTGCGAGCTGTTTCGCAACATGTCGTCCATTTGCGGCATTCGTCTTTATTCAAAAATTTCCTACAGACTATAGAATCTTTTCCAGCTACAGGTTCATAGGTAATATTGAGTCTTTGTAGGTAATACGGACCGGTTACATTCAAGTCAAGAATACCCTTTCTCGAGAAGAGATGATCAAAACATTTACCACACGTTTTCCTGGCAAAAATCTCTGGTTTATCCTTGAACCACGGATCTCTACATATTGGCTGTACATATCCAAAAAAGACAGTAAACAGCAAAATTCGCATACTGCGCTTTGCGGTCCAACCGCAATTCGTCTACTGCCGCTACTTGTAGCTTTCAATCTCAAATTTACTCGCTCCGTGTTATCGCATTCAGCTTATCTTATCCGTATATATTAATCAATTCGTGAAACTTCGCACCAACCCTCCGTTTATATTTCTTTTTCTAGCGCATGCGCGCGTTAGGGCGTCTATTGATTGTCCGGCTTGGGAAAGGGTCTTGAATTGCTATTAAAACGTGACGACGCTGAATAAGGCAGTTTTGTATGTATAATATGGATTTAATGAGATTCTATGAAAATATATTGTTATTATAACTATGTTTACACGCTAAAAGCATGCATGCATAAGTTTTTTCTGACAAATAGATAGCGTGGTTGCAGAAATTGCAGTTGGAGGATCTCATTAATTCTTGTATATTAAATAAAAATTAAACTTGAAAGTCTTGTTTCCATGTAAAACAAGTTTTACACTTTATTTAAAGACTGTTCGTATGTCTACTCTGTCTTATCAGTTTTTGCAATTTTCTATTACAATTAAGCCTATATTAGGCCAATTTTTACTTGCGTGCGGATAAAACTTGACAATATTTTTGACCTTTGAATATCCTCCTTTTAACTATTGTTCTTTCTATATTAATAGGTTGTAAAAGTTATATTTGTTTTATTAATATTACTTAAATTTTTCTTGGAAGTCTATGATATTAAATATGTTATGGCTACATTTGTGTTTATGTACGCCGTATACAGAAGAAACAAAACATCACGCAAAAAATTTAACAATCTTAGCGTATCTTTTACCGAAAATGATAACTTTAGCGAATGGTTTCCATATTTCAATTGTAAATTAAGTATGCAACGGTCATATTATAGTCCATCAACACTTTGTCGTATAAGGAATGCTAACGGTGAATACCGTTGAAAAAACTCTTACCCTTTGTGCCTGAGAGAGTTATTGAGAGGTTATTAATTATCCTTCATTCTTAATGACTAGAGGCGAAAGGGAAAGTTGAAGAAAAACATTTATAATTTCTAATCAATCGACATTGCCTAACTATACATCGATTCTCTCTCATTCTCCCTATCTCTCTCTCTCTCCATTTCTTTCTTTGTCTTTCCCTAATATAATTACTTTAAGACGTAACGAAATAAATTCACCAAAACGTATAAATCAAACAAAAAAAAACTTACCTAGCGTTTTAGACTGCAAACAGCGCAAACGATCGACGGTTTCTTTATGCTCCACCTGTTGCGTTTCTCGTAGTCTAGACTGTCCCAAGGTACCTTATGCCCACAAATGTCACGTGATCGATAATTTCTCCGATACGGCTGAATATTCAATATTTGGATAAATAGTTAAAGTTTCTAGGTAAATTATTATAAAATATCGCCATATATAATTTTTATTAATTGACTTAACTCTTAGACTATACTATTTCTTGTAATTGCTTAATAGAAAGAGAGAGACTATATAGATTGTTGCTATAAACAAGTATATAAATTGGATATATTATTAGAATGTCGGAAGGAGGAAGTTGAAAAGAGTAAATTGGAAGTAAAGTTAAGATTTTCAGTAGAATAACATTTGAAAAAAGAATGTTACAGCAATATAAACGTTATCGATGGCTAGCTATACAAGGTAAAGCTTTTCTTTCTTTTCCTTTTCAAAAGGCTTCAATTATGAACGCGAAATTTAATTCTACCTTCTTAAGTTTCTTTTCTATAATGTCACAAGATAGACACATTTTTAAGTCACTATCTCAATAGGAAATCAATACTGGTACTAATATCTCTCACTTAAAGATTTCAATATTTTAATTAGGCCTACGTGTATATATATAAATACATATACATACTGAACAGATTATATTTATATATGAGTTTATCAAGAGGACCATTTCTTTTTTACAAGTATTTTATTACTTATCTATTAATCTATTAATAGTTTTAGTACAGGAGAAAATATCAATTAGATATGCATGATATTTAATTATGCACGTCTTATATACATTCCAGAGACTATAAAAACACGAAAACAGAAAAAAAAGAGTAAGAATACTACAAAAAACAAATAAGACCGCTGAGAGAAAGAGAGAGAGAGAGAGAGAGAGAGTTACTGTATTATAATGCGTTTATCAAAAGTCTATTTTTAATTTTTTTTCTTTATGATAGACCTAGTTTACGATCCTTATTCATACAACTTATATATATATATATATATATATATATATATATATATATATACTGTATATACTATCTATGTACTAATATATTAAATTATAGCAAATATACAAAATAAATATAGTCAACCTCCATCTTTATATTGTTTTTCATTTTTTTTCTATTTTTAATCATTCCTTTCCTTAGTGTAAAATAATACAGAGTTATTTTTAAAAGGCTATCAAAGTAATAGAAATTTTACAAGAGCTTATCGAACGTCAAATGACCTGGATGGAGAGAATTTACAATCTTTTACAAGAATACTATTATGGAATGCGCACACCTGGTTTCCCATTTTATTTCCATCCCACTGATTTCAGAAATATGAAAGAGTCAAGGAGTCAATGGATTATAGATACAGCCAAGTTGATAGACTAAGTTTACATGTTATATACTGCAGACAAATATTGATTTTAATTTTTAAACATTATGGAAAGTATATTATATTTAAGTTATTAGAATATTGAAATATAAGAATATTGAAGAATATGGAAAGAAGATAGAGCTCATCTCCACTTTGACCTTTTCCAAGATTTCGAATGGGTAATGGAAGATAAGACGAACTGGATTGATTCAAATCCTTGTAATGTCTGTCTGTCTGTCTGTCTGTTGGGAAGAGGCGGAGAGGGGAAGAGAATTTTCGCTATAATTGACTGGAAAAGGAGACAAATAGCAATTTGCGAAGACCTAAAAATTATCCCCCTAGAAAAACAATAACAATAATTCATCTAGATAACGGTTACGTTTTACTTAGTAGATTATTCGTCATAGACCGTAAAATAATAACAATTGGCAGGGCTCCTAAAGGGGAAATGAAGGTCGTGTGTTTTCCGACTATGCAGGAAGGAAGGTTGACTCTTTTATTCTATCTCAAGATCCTGAAAGACCACTACGTGTCAGTTACAAGGACAATTTTATTGTATTGCTGATCAGGCCACTGGCAGTGTAAGTGAGATCAAGGTGGCGGAAAATATATAGGAAATGGGTGGAAAGGTTCGAGAAGCGTTCTTTTTTGTTATTGAAGGACGACTGCATTTATGTAACGTCCAAGCAATCAATTACCATCCGTGGCTTGACTGGAGCGTTACTAAAAAGGGTTTACGACCGTCCAATATTCTACTGGCGTGTGCCTAGATAGGACGAGTGATTTACCTCTTTGCTTATGACACTTTTTCTAACGCTAAGCTACTTTTAATCAATGTCAACAAAGGCATTCATACAGGAGATGGCCTTATTTTTCACCAAAAGATATAATATTATTAAGTAGCGGCTTATTCACTCTGATTTCTAAGTGTCCATCAATAAACGCTTACCGAATATACAAAAAGAAAAAATAGGTTGTAATTATTTAAACTAACAGATGGCGCTTTGTTGGGAGATTCCAGATTAGGGATTTTTTTCGAGCCTATTTAATTACTGTGTTCGGCGAGAGACGGCTAAGAAATTGCCACCTTTCGATTTTTAACCCCTGACCCAATGCGGGGACGGCGGCAGGTGAGCGTCTCAGCCCCGATTGACTCCTTTCTTTCGTCCTGTTGGGCGACGAGGCGGAAAAAGATTGCCGAATGCGTGCCATCGCCTTCACCCGGAAAAACTAAACGAATTTCGACAATCCCGCTGAGCGTCGAAATAGACGAGAACGACAGATGGTTACATTTCATCCTCCATCTTTTTTGTACTATTATACAACATATTGTAAACAATGAATAAATAGCCTAAAGAGATTTCTCTGTAAGAATAACGTATTAAATATATTTTGATATTTCCTCTAACAATAAACAAGCATGTACGAAATACGGATAAACCGGTACTTTTTATTTTCTATATTCTTAGATAACATTCCACAAACTTATTTCAGCGGGAACGGCCAAGTAGATAAGGGTATTAACGGCGCTGTCGCAGCAAGGGGCTGACCAGTGGATTGAGGCTGAGAGACCGGTGGAATGACGGGTGGCGTTTGAAAGGATTGCCCAGGTTCCAAGGCAGCAGGTACCAGCGTCAAAGGTGGCAGAGAACGAGGCACATGCGTTCTGCTACCATATGCATCGTTTAGAAGCTTTTTCATTTCTTCGAGGCTGTTAGATAGCATTAATATATAGTTTTTGGCTAAAAGTAAAGTTGCGATCTTTGATAATTTTCGTACGCTGGGTCCATGAGCATATGGCATAACTTCTCGAAGACCATCGAGTGCCGAGTTTAAATCATGCATACGTTTTCTCTCTCTAGAATTAATCTTCAGGCGAAGCCTTTGAACATCTTCTTCTCTTCTTCCTTCCGAGTCTTTCCTCTTTGAACGCCTCTTTTGACTACTTGAAACTTCGTCTTCATCAGAAAAACGCTCTTCAAAATGTTCCATTGTCGATACAAAGGAATGGAATGAAAAGTGTTCAACTGTTCAACACCTTAAGCTCCGCCCATTTCTATCCGGACAAAAATCTCCGCCCAGTCGCGGGGCGATTTTGCTTTTGAACGGGGCGCACTTGTTGCGCAGTCAGGTTTCAAGTATTTCTTTATCCGTGAATAATATACTTGGTGAATGACGGTTGCCGGTTCATTAAGCAAAACTCCGAGAGAATAAAGGGAGTGAAAGAAGGGTTAGGAAAAATAATGATGAGAAAAAAGAGACGCCTCTACCCCAATCTTCTAAAGAGTATACATATGATACATTAACTTAATATACAGCACTTTGAAATGCACACAATACAAAGCTTGGATACAGTGTATCAGACAGTAAACGCAGCATACCTACGTATTGTATACTGTATACTATACAGTATGTCTGTAAATATATATAAATACTTGCAAAAATATAAATAAGCACCGGTAATTTATGGCGTCGGCCCTTTCTCACACTCTTTTAAATCAAGAAACGTGACAGATGGTCAGATTTCCCGCAGGCCTAAACGTTTACTTCCTTCTTCTCAGTTGATTTTAAGTGCGGACGTGAACGACGAGTTAATAACATAATCGTATGATTTATGCTTATTTCTATGTCGACCATCACGCAATTCCGCTGTTTTAACAGTCTGGTCTTTTCTTCCTTTTTATCCTATTTATATAATTACCATTTAGTTCGCCCGATATACATTATAAAGCATTAGTATAAGGTGTCATTTGTATATATATATATACCTTTATAACGTCTATACAATACTAGCAGCCTCTTCTTGAATTCCCTTCCACAGATTATCCACAATAGTAAAGTATAGCCTGTCATAAACACTTTTCTTCAGCATTCTGCAAACGTTCTCAATATAAAACTGTAGTTGAGAGATATTAGTCTCATTTCCAAAAAGCTTTATATCCTTTCGATGATTTTTTTTACAAGTAGGAAATGAATAATATTCTAAAAAAAACAACAACAACAACAACAAGCCTGCCTAAATTTGATACTGTCCCGATTACTTTTGTCCAACGTTGTATAAATGCATAAAATCTGTTTATTCTTTTCTTTTGTATAATAGAAATATAAAAAATAAACAAAGTGAGACGATAAGTCATCCATGAACAATTGTTGCAAAGAGAAATAGAGCAAATGTTTAAGTAACATTCTTACACATGGGATCACTCTACCATATACCTTTTTTCTTCCATCTTTTCTCCCTCCCTCCCTCTTTTTATGGCACGTGCCATGGATTTCCTTAATCGAAACAATTCAAATTTTTGACTTGAATAGGTGTGTTTTAGCAGGAAAGAAGTTTGTGTAAAAAATTTGTGAGCGAATTTTTGTATATACTACTATATGCATATATATATATATATATGTATGTATATATATGTATAGTTGAGTATTGCACATTTAATATATATATATATATATATATATATATATATATATAAATATATATGTTCTGCTAGAGATGGCGGCACAAACGCAAGTTTAAAGCGCTATCTCTATTTTTTTCCCCTCTCTCTTCCCCCTTTTTTTCCCACTCGTTTTCTTTACGCACTTAAGTTTCATGTCAATCTCCGTCCTTAACCGGTCGACTTGATTATCTCATCGAATTCAGTTGATTTTCCCTCGATACCAGCTGCTTTTAGGGGTCTACTACGGTCGTACAGCGCCGGGGCTTGCAATATGATACCAAACGTTCCAACTACGCAGGCGGTTGTAAAAATCCATAAGAAAAGGCGGTCGAGCACGAGAGCGACGTATTTCCAATCCTCTTTTATCTGCAATAACATACGCCTTTGTGCTTTCAATTAGGCTTAAAAGAATAGGGGAAGGTTGAGGGGGGAACCCCGGGTAAAGAAAAGGGTATAATAATAGCAATAAATGGGATGAGTAAAGGAATAACGAACGTTTGACGCTTCGTCTTCTCGTTGTAAATGTTCGGCAATATATCTCACTCCATCTATGGCTTGTCGTACTTCTGGAGTAAATTCTCCTCCTATCTCCTGACTAAAGTCGATTGTCTCGAAACCGTTGCAGGTCCTGTAAACTGCAGCTCTGAGTCTATCTCTTTCCATATTTGGTCTTTCCATCATCAAGAGGCGCGGTAAGATGTTGAGAAAGACCTTACGCACCCAAGGGCTCATCGTGTGCGTGGAAGGCGACCGGAAGTGAACGTTGAGCACGATTACTGTTACTATAATCGATAGCGTGACGAGAATCATTGTAAATAGGAGATATTTCCCTATAAGTGGTACCACAAGAGATGTTGGAGGTATGATTTCGGCCAATAGGAGGAAAAAGACGGTTAACGAGAGAAGGATAGAGATACACAAAGCTATTTTTTCCCCACTATCTGACGGTAAGTAAAAAACGAGTACCGTCAAAAAACTAATGGCCACGCAGGGGATGATTAGATTGACTGTGTGAAAGAGCGTCTTCCTCCTTATGGTTATGTTAAAAGTTATATCCGGATATATTTCAGCACAGCATGGATACTTTTTCTCATTTTTCTTTGCTGGTACAGTAAGAATATCCCATTCGACTGACCTATAAAAATCCTGCAAATCAATTCCTTCTTCGATCCTTTCGACTGGTTCCGGTACGGATAAGTGATCTAAATCAACTTGCAAACCGTCGTATGTCCAACTACCAAATTTTAAGGTGCACAGTTGCTCATCAAATGGAAAAAACTCGACGTTAATAGGGCATGACGATTTATAAATGGCAGGCGGTTCCCAATGAACAGTACCATTTGCAAATAAAGTTGCTTTGGTCATTAAAGTCACCTCATAATTGCCATCGGCATTATTATAAAGAACAATGTCAGGCAGCCAGATTTCATCTGAAGGGACGTATAATCTATCAACGCCACCGTAAGCTTCCGGCTTCCATTGCAGTTTATGATCGTACCATTCCTATATCGATAAATATAGTATATTTATATATTTTGTATACAACATATATATAGATGTTTGTGAAAATCGGTTGATAAAAGACGCGGCTCTTTCGCGTATTGATCAACTGTTTGCTCGAAGGAAATAAGTATATACGTAGGCGACTATCGATTACGACGCGGACCAGTTAATGGCGTGGACAGTTCCAATTGATTTTTTCCGCCAAAAATACACAAAATCGTATTCTTTCATCCCTCTTTTTTTATCCCCCCCCCCTTTACGTATCTAGTAAAGAAAAGAAAAAAAGAGAGCCTAAGGCGTCTATGCAGGAATGTAAGTAATCCTTTGCGGTATATTTGAGCGCTTATCGCTAACCTGAGTTAACCAGACGTTCGTAGTCATGATTTGATTCTTCTCGTCCTGTATACGAAAATATTTAAATTTGCATAAGTAATTGAAGGAAATTGAGTAGAGCCTAAAAGGAAAAAAAATTGTCGTGCTATAGAGATAACTAGAAGGGGAAGTAAAGGAAAAATGAGAGAGAAAAGGATGAAAATTGGGATAGGCAGAAAAATATAATAGTAGAGGGGGGAGGAAAGAAAAGGATTTAGGGAGACGCCCCGACACGATTCGGCACTCGTCGGTCTAAACGATTGCATTACGTCGTCATAGGAACTATCAAATCGGCTCGAGGGGGTCGGCCGCCGCAAATCGGCTCCGAACTCGAAATGAGTTCTACAAGCCCGGGGGACGAACGGTATTTTTCGCCTCCATCTTCTTTACAGGCGCGAACCGTGCGACGATTAGCATAGTTTGTACCATACATCGATTTTTCATTCTCAATTGAAAACAATAACTCAAATTTTCATTTTTTAAGAATCTCGGCCAACCCCCAACTTGACAATTTATTTCATTTCATTATTTATGGAATTAAGACAAGAAGTCTCGTTTCTGACCTTCGCAAGTAAGATGAAACATCTTCTAAAGACTATAATTACCTCGTTGTGCAACGAACTAACATGATGTAGTATATATTGCATTCATCTAAATAGGAAGAAGATTTTAGGGAGATAGATAGAATAAAGAGAATGAAAGGCAGAGAGAGATAGGGTGAAAATGAAAAAAAGAGACAGACAGAGAGGGAGGAAGAGAGAGAGAGAGAGGGAACGAGAGAGAGAGAGAGAGAACGAGAGAGAAGAGATAGATAGAGATAGAGAAAGAGAGAGAGACAGACAGGCAGACAGACAGACAGATAGACAGAGAGAGAGAGAGAGAGAGAACTCTCTGTATATATTGCGAAAAAATAAAGACCAAAATATTAGTATAATAAACCAAATGACTAAAATCTGTGGATCATGCTTCGAGGTATCAAGTATGAGATAAATCTTTATACTTTATTTTTAGAATATCGTAGTGAATTGAAGGATAAAAAAAGTTTTAATACTCACAATATCGATAAGCTGAGAGAGGCGTAAGCCTAATTTCACAGTTAATTTATCGCTGTTGTTCAAAACTGGTCGGATTAATTTGTTATATCCACTCAACTTGAACAGAGACTTGTAGAGACGCTTTGCGTTGGGATTAGCGGCGGCTGTGAGGGATAAAAACGTCCATCGGCCATCAATCACATCCTATCCGGTATTACGCGAAAGATGAAGAAAAGTAGACGCTTATAGACGCCGCCGAGGGCGTCTATAGACAAGTACTAGACCTGTTAATGAATGCCGGAGCGAAAAGGCAAGAAAAGAGAAATAGACAACGAGTTTGTGAATGTGTAAAAGTGTTAGAATGACGAGAATAAGGGAAAAATTTGCAAATAGATGAAGTTGTGGGACAAAACGGAAAGGGACGCCGCAAAGTAGACGGCCGCTTCCCGTCTCTTTTGTCCACTTCGTTAGGCGTCAATTCAACACCCCGTCCTTCTAAAACACGACGCCGTACAGGACGAGGCTGCACAATTTTCCTTTCCCCTCATAGACCTACAAATCAAACTTTTTTTTTATATTTTATGAGATAATAGACAGTATTCGTATTACTCGCGGCCTAATTATAAACTCCATTTTACTACCTTATTATTGAAGATTCACAATATACTGCATAAAAAAACTTGAAGAACAATAATACGCTAAATATGTATACATTATATCCATAAAAAGGCCTATAGTATATTGTAAAGGTACATACTGCTTCGAAAATCCAATATTACAAGTAAAATAATGATAAGGAAGACGTTCTTCAAAGTTCGCATTGATCGTCTTTCCATTCCGCGACGACGCTTGAGCTCTTCCGTGAAAAGTTATGCGGTAGAGTTTTTCTCTCCAGTCCGTCACGTGATAGGTTTACAATCACGTGACCGATCTTATTGGGCGTTATTGTAAACGCGAGGGAGAGGGAAATCTGATTATTCGCAATGGTATAAGTGTTTATATATGTAAATGTAAATGTATACATACGTCCTTACGTATGTAACGTATACAAGGTTTTGTAAATTGCCGATGCAAATTAAAGAGGATGAATTTTAGTTATCTCGTTACTGGAGACGCCTCTAGATCAGCGCCAGTCGTAAATATGTAATTAAATGTAAACCAGGATTAATGAAGATCATAAATTAGGTAGAGTACAAAAGACACCAAGAAGAAAGTATGGTTAGGAGAGGGATATAGAAGTAGAAGAAAGGGATTTTACATTGTTTATTAAGATATACTATACACGATATATAAATTTATTTAAGAATATATACAGTATATATATATATATATATATATTAATATATACAGAACACGCTGTATACACCTGGAATGAAAGAGAATTATAATTAAAGGTAGGAAGAATAAACAGAAATAAGAAAATAGAAGTGGCAAGGAAAAAGATAGCGCTATCGAGAGAAATATGGAAAAAGAGACAAAATCAGACAAACGGGAGAAAAATGTGAAAGAATTTTTATTAGAACCTGCTCTCGACGGCAGATGAAAACGATAGGACAAGATGGTTTTTCTTTTTATTTTTTTTAAAAAAAAAAATAAAATCCGTCAAGGATGCTACTGGATATATAGAACGTTCCTCTCTTTTTGTCAATCCAACGACTATGCAAATTTATCTTACTCCGATTACGATGCCCGCCTGTATAGATGCTAATCAGATTTTTACAACTCGCTTTTATTTCTAAACGAATTGTTTTAACATCAAACGATATTGTTTCTACAATTCCTCTTAAAATATTGTATGGCCATCTACCGGGGTAGTTGAAAGTTGCCTTTTGCTTCTTAGTCTCTGCGTCTTCGTCCTCTAGTTTACTTTCTTATTTGTCTCTCTCATTTTCCTTTTAACTCTTTCCTAGGGTATCTATTTGCATAAGGAAATTATTGACTATTTAGACGTGTAAACTATTGTTTCAGTGCTTGCTTGTTACATACATATTAAATCATGTATAATAAATATATATATACAAGTATATACTGTATAATTTATACAGTCTGTCTTTACAAATATACTCGTATAACATATAAACACCGTGTATATATGGATATGTATTTGAATATATCGAAAGATAAGACTGTAGAATAACTCTCGTTGGAGAGATGGGCATGGAATATAAAAAAAAGCATAAATCTGCCTCTTGTCACTATCGATGAGAGTCACCAAAGAGTGACTACCACCGGAAGTAGGGTTGAAGCAACTTTGATCGTGTAGTAAGTATAGTGCTAATTATTTCTCGCTTCGCATGTATTCTTTGCACACTGATATTGTAATATTTATAATATATTATGTTCTGACCATTACCCTTAACCCTTCTCCCTTTCACTCTCTCTCTCTCTCTCTCTCTCTCTCTCTCTTTCCTTCCCCTCCCCTCCCCCTTATATCCACCGCCCCACTTTCCTTCTCGTTTTTAAGAGATTAATAAAGAAATATTGTCCATAAATATGGAAAGGAAACAAGATATTAATAGATAAAAATTGTTCTATTATTCGTCCTATTCCCGTCTAAATATTGATAATGAAAAAACTTTTGACTTGTTTATTTAATTACTAATTCATTATGACGTTATTGTTGCTTTTATTCGTCCAATTTAAAAATTAATGAAAGTCTTACCAAACGTATAATTGATACGCATTAAACGGCGCCATCTCTGGCCTTATACTGACATTATACGAGAAACGTTTCGAAAGAAGAGATGTGATACATAAACTAATAGGCGATTTATTAATAAAAAAAATGAGCGGTAATAAATCAAATGAGAATAATTTATAGAGATTTTTAAGAAACGGTATAGAAAAGAAAGGGAATACGACGAAGAGAAAGAGAAAGAGTAAGAGAGAGAAAGAATAAAGAGGAATGTAAAATGAGAAGAATTTCCATTCTATCATAGTTTATTGATAAACCTTAAATACACATAAATTTTATGCACACGATACATAAGTGTATAATAGTACATTATTTATATATGCGCTGTTTATATAACGTATATGTATTATATTAAATGCCTGAAGAAATGTGTTCATAGTATAAATCTATATTAATTATTATCAAATAAGGGCCATTGTTAAGTGTTTAGATAAAGATATCAACTCGTATTTTCTCTCTTTTTATTTTATAATTCAATCGATAATCTGTACATATTATTCCTCGTTTTATTTACTTTTCTTCAACTTCCGATTGGTGAGTACCTACTAAAATATGATCAATAGAGTATTAATATCCTCCTATTATCATAACTCACATAAGTAGTATGCAATTAACTCTTTTACGAGATCATAAACTTGATACCTACACTTATATATGAGTAGTTATAAATATATCATTAAAAATGGATAAATATCTACTACTTTCTCTCTTTTTCTCTCTTAATATCTATATCTATATATATATATAGATATATATTAATAGAGTGTACATAA